AGGTGGGAAAAAAAAACAAAAAAGAAAGAAAAGGAAGAATTTCAGAACAGAGAAGCACAAAGACCCCTCCCCCAACCTTTACTGGCTGCGCAGCCATGCCCCAAGCCGCGGCCACCCTGGCCCGGCCCGGCAGGGGCTGCCGAGTCCCCAGAGACACGGGGTCGTCTGCAGCTCACCCACACAGAAGACGCCTGAGTTACCAGTGTTGGACCCGCTGATCACGACAGAGAAACCTCCGAGCCGGGACCTGCACAGACCCCACCCCTGCCCCTCACTCTGCACAGACCCCACCCCTGCCCCTCACTCTCCGAGCAGACATCGGGAGGTCAAAATCAGTGGGCCATGTCACTGTGCCACCAGAGCCCAGGACATGCCTTTGTCCCCTTCCCCTCTTGGTGGCCTGAGGACAGAGGGTTGAACAGAGGGGCTGAGGAAGGCATGCATGCAGCGTGGCCGCTGTCTGCATTGGTGGGCCACGCTAATGGGTCACTGGCACTGCTGCTAGTTAGTCCACTGAGCAGGCACCTATAGGACCCAAGCCCAAACTCCCCCCCCCAGCGCCCCACTTTACAGGGCCTCACTGCAGCCTGGAGGGGCACATCCCAACCTGGCGCCAGTACCCGTACACGTGTAAGACTTGGCTCCATCTCAGTTGACTTTGATATTCTGTCTAATATGTCTTAGGTTACTCCATTGAATCCTTTTGTTTTTTTTTTTTTTTGGTTGGTAGTGGGCTAGCGCTCTACCCCTTGAGCCACAGCACCACTTCCAGCTTTTTCTGTGTATGTGGTGCTGAAGAATCGAACCTGGGGACTCATGTATGCAAGTCAAGCGCTCTACCGCTGAGCCACCTTCCCAGCCATTGAGTTCTTTTCATGAGTTTCTCGGGGTAGCTTGTCGGTTTCTCTTGTGGTGCTCATAATTCCTTGCTGAGCAAGTTGTCTGCCACTGAGCTACCCCTTCCTGCCCCCAAGTGCTCATTCCCTTCTCATCTACAATTTGTGAGTTTAGTGGTGATTCAGGAACTCTTGGCCATTCTGAGGAGAAATCACGTTTATGCATTTGAACCTTGCTGGTATTATTAAGAGTGGGGAATTCTCACATATGTGTGGCACATACTATGTGTCACCCAAACTGGTCACAGCCTGCCTCCTGTGGAGCAGGCGGAGCTGTGCCAGTCCACATCAGGTGCTAGAGTCTGGCTGTGGCCCAGGGCAGAGGTAGTAAGTCCCTCCGTGGGCAGTGCAGCTGACCACAGTGCTTGTGTCTTCTAGTCTCCAGGCTGGAGGAGCGGGAGTCAGAGATGAAGAAGGAGTACAATGCCCTGCACCAGCGGCACACAGAGGTAGGCGCCATGGCATTCGCCCCAGGGTTCAAGGGAGTGAGCGTTGATGCAGCCTAACGTCTACCATGTGCCAGTGGAGCACCTTCTCTGGTGTCGCCTTTGTCTGGTTAAATCCATTCCTCTGAACTTGGCTATTTCCGTCTGGCACAGTGTGGACTATAACACGGGCCCGGCAGGCAGCACTAATGACAGACCCCTCTTGACAGATGATACAGACCTACGTGGAGCACATCGAGAGATCCAAGATGCAGCAGGTTGGGGGCAGTAGCCAGACAGAAAGCAGCCTGCCAGGGCGGAGGTAGGTCACTAAGGGCGCAGTTCTGGCCGGAGGGGGTCAAGTCTGTCTCTCAGGCTCACTGTCATTGCTCACTGCTTGTAGATTCCATGTCTACAAATTTGCCACTCACTAAAATGTATGGGAAACCTCAGACTCATACTTATTGCACTCTTTCAAGTCATGCTTTGAGAAAACATGCAGGCTCTTGATCAAACCAAATTGGGCAGTGTTCAGCCTAATGAGCTGGCTTAGAAGCCCAGATCCAGAATGTGTTAGCTGGGGCTACTCTATCACCAGAGGCTTCTGAGCTTGTCTACCAGGATGAGTTTGGTGGTTCTAATACTAGGATCTGTGAGAAATACTTAAGCATTTCTCCTTAGAGCAGTAGTTCAGTGTTCATGAGTTTGTGTTGGAGGAAGCTAGACCACATTACCACAGACTGTCTTGATAGGAGGAGGCCAGGCCGGCTTGCAGGCAAGACTGTCTCCTTCCCTCTGTGGGGCAGGACAGTGCCAGAAGATCGCAGCCCCCTGCCTGGCCCAGGCCCCAGCTCAGGCGCTGGTCTCACTCTGGCAGCAGGACGAAGCTGCCAAAGCCCAGCTCCTTCCCCACTTCCTGTGGCTTTGAACTCAGGGCCTAGGCACTGTCCTTGAGCTTCTTTTGCTCAAAGTTAGCAGTCTACCATTTGAGCCACAGCTCTACTTCCGGCCTTTTCTGTGTATGTGCTGCTGAGAAATCAGACCCACGGCTTCATGCCTGCTAGGCGAGCACTCTGCCACCAGCCACACTCCCAGCCCCTCCTTCCCCACTCTTCGTACCACTTGAGTCAGGACAGAGCTGTACCACCAGCTTCTGGAAACAGTGTCAAAGGTCGTGTCCAGGAGGTTAGGGTCTGGACGCGTCTCTGGGATGACCGCATTGGGAGCTCTAGCTCAGGCACAGAACGCACAGGCACTAGCAGGAGCCTGTGTGTGCGTCTGTGTGCTCCGTCACCCCCCACCCCTCCCCGTGCCCAAGTCCTCGCGTGTCCCTGGCGCTTCTGTGACGGGACACTGTCCACTGTCCTGCTGCACAGCCCGTCTGGAGGTCTCTTGTCAAAGCCAAGGTCTGTGCATCGCACGCCTGCCCTTGCAGACATCTGTGTGTGACTAGCTGTGTGGCGGGGTGTGTAGGACGGGCCCCCAGTCTCACCGTCACTGTCTGTCTCTCATGTGATCTCCTTGTCCTGCGCTCTGTGCCGTCGCGGCTGTGTGCTGGCCATTGTGTCTGTCGCTGCCTTCAGTCCTCGCCAGTCATGGAGGAAAAGGTAAAGCCTGAAGGTTGTTGTCTGCCATGGGCTGGGGTCCGCTTGGAACTTGAGACAGTCTTAGGAGGGTTTTCATCACAAGCACGTTTCTTGATTAGCATAGACATATTTTCTATACCCCGAACAGCGGATCAAAAGTGCTTGCAAATGCCTTCATAAGCCAGGCACCCGTGGCTCACTCCTGTAAGCTAGCTCCTCAGGAGTCTGAGATCTTAGGATCATGGTTCAAAGCCAGCCCGGACAGGAAAGCCGTGAGACTCTTACCTCCAATTAACCACCAGAAAACCAGAAGTGGTGCTGTGGCTCATGTGGTAGAGCACTAGCCTTGAGCTGAAGAGCTGAGGGACAGTGCCCAGGCCCAGAGTTCAGGCCGAGTCCAAGCCCCATAACCACAAAAAAAAAAAAAAAAAAATTCCTTCACAGGACTGGTCTGATGGTCCCTTTTCACACACCAAATCACCGGTGAGGAGCATGTAGCCAAGCATTGCCTGGCACTGACTGGAGCCGGTGGGCAGGTGGAGACATCATGTCCCCTCCACTCTCAAGTGGTTCTATGCCGATGGCCCAGTACGATCACTTAGAGTTCTGTATCCCCAGTAGGCTTGATTGGCACTTGTGGGCAGCATCGCCCCAGGGTGATAGTCTGGAGAAGATGGCCGTTTGCCCACCCCTGGGGCCGTGAGGATACGATAAATGGGTTTAAGAAGGCTGGCCTTTGCATGAGCCCCATCAGTCAGCAACACCTCCACAGAGATGTTCACCTGGCTCAGCAGCCAGGTCCAAATGAGATTCTGTAGGGAAGAGCAAGGGCAAATACCCTGTTCCTGATTACAGATAAACTTCCAGTAGACATAGCAGCCTGCCGAGCATGGACCATGTCTGCTGTCCACACTGGAATTGAGTGGCCTGTTGTCTGTTCGTCGCCCTTCTTGTGAGGCGGGAGTCCCTTCCCCCACTCTCATCCTCGTGGCATCTCGTAACAGCTGGGATGGCCCTGCTTTGGGACCTGTATTCTTCCCAGGGTCATGAGTAGAAGTCCTTAATGGGGTCAGGACTGGTCCCCAGGGTGTTTTCCAGACCAGAATCGGGAACTCAAGGATGCAAAGTCTGGGCAAGGGGGCTGGAAGCCTGGTGGCAGATAGGGGTGTGGCCTTCCCCAGCCTGAGTTGTGTAGCATTTCAGTGGCCCAGAGACCTTGCCGAATATGGTCAGTTGCTCAGTGCAGCTGAGCCACAGAGGTTCTGGTACCTGGGCAGAACAGAGCCGTCTATCTGTGACGCGAGTTTCAGGACCCGCGTTTAGGCCTTGCTCAGTAACCAGCACAGGCCTGTCCTCTGCAAAGGGTCCTTGGAGCGCAACTGCCTCCTGTTCTGTCTCAGCGCGATGCCTTCTACAGCTCCAGACTGGAGGGGGAAGCAAAGGGGCTGAGGGCAGGATTGCGCCCTGTACCCAAGAGGCAAAGGCAGAGCTCACAGCCACTGTGACAGGGAGGCAGATCTCGGCTTTGTCTCGGCAAGTCACCACTCAAAGCAAACAGTTACTGCCTGCCTGGCTCCAGAAAACACTTCAGGTGCTCTGTGGGACTGCTAGTGCTGGCATTTGTCCCTCAGCTCTTCAGCTCAAGGCTTTTTCTGCCTATGTGGTGCTGAAGAGTTGAACCCAGGGCCTCATGCATACACGGCCGCTGTTGGTGTCTTTTTAAAGGTGAACTAAATGAAATAGGAAATCACAACATGACAGAAGAGGAAAGGTTACATAGGGTCATACGTGGAGATGCCCCCAAAGAGACAGACATGGCCGCATAGCAATTACCTTCCCAAGCAGCACACCCCACCGTGTGCATGTGTTGAGATGGATTCCTGTTCCCTTATGTGCCTCCAGCTAACCATCTGCTTCCTCTTCTTCTCCCTCCCACTCCAGCAGGAAGGAGCGCCCCACCTCTCTGAGCGTCTTCCCCCTGGCTGATGGCATGGTACGTGCACAGATGGGGGGCAAGCTCGTGCCTGCGGGGGACCACTGGCACCTGAGTGACCTCGGCCAGCTTCAGTCCGGCTCCAGCTACCAGGTTTTGTAGCCGTGCGTGGAGTGAGGGCCCTGCTGCTGGCGTCCCACACCCATCTCGGGGCACAACTCTGTGCGTCTCTCCCTGAGTTAGTCCACCCTCCGCTGATGCGAGTCAGGGATAGAGAAACCAAGCCAGGTGTCGGGAGGTGTGGGGTCTCAGATGGACCCTTTGCTGTCACAGCTACTCTTTGTGGCCTTGTCCTGGTACCTGTTAACCCAGGCTATGACTCTCTGCCTCTCAGACCATTCTGCAATCTGATACCTATATGAGGGCCGAGCCTAGCAATGCTGTGCTAAGCACACTCCCAAATACATGCCTTCTGTCACACCGTTAGGATACCTGTTGCTTCTGTTCTCATGAGCCTTGAGAAACTAGAGTCCGAGGTCTGATTTCTGCTCCCTCGTAGCCCCTTCTCCACATGTCCCTGGTAGCTCTCCTTACTACAGGTTGAGAAACAGGATCTCCCGCTCCCCCGCCCCAGGTGTGCACACCTACCACGAGTGTACTTTAAATGTGGCACCCAGAGAAGGCCAGGCCGCATTCAGGGCCCCAGATGCCTTGCCGTAATTGGGGTGTATGTCTCAGACTATCTGAAAGACATAGCAGGCAGGGTCATGGCTACGCTGCCAGGTAAGACCTGCCTTCCTTGGGTAGAAGAGGAGATCTTGGCTCCAGTGGATTCAGGGAGGCATTGGGGGACACCTACAGAGTCAACAAGGCCCCAGGGCTCCGGGCTGGGGGGCAGGCGGGTGAGGGTCCAAGGCTTTGGAAATCTCCCTGCTGCTCCTTTGGCTGACTGTCCTTCCACCTGTGTCCAGCTTGCCTTCGAGGGCTGTTGCATGCTGCCAGCTCTGTCAGAAGGTGACACCACTGCTTCTGCTCTTGTTCCTGGGGGACCACATCTCTGAGACACAGAGATGCCTGTCTGCTTTTCACTGTCCTGCTGTTGGTGGTACCCTGGGAAGAGGGCAGCAAGGCCTATGGGCCAGCCAGTTATGCCAGCTGCCCTCGCCCAGCTGTACCTGCTCACACCAGGCCTGTGGTAGGGCTGCCCTCTAAGCATCTGTAGAAACCACAGGAGCCTCTGAAAGCCAGATGGAGCCCACCTGCCCTGTCCTGCTCCGGGCACCTGCTCGTGTCCTTGTCTGGAGCAGCTTTCCTGGCCACACTGTCTTCTTTCCCTACCACCTTGTCTGGAATAGTCTTGCCATAAATCGTAGTATTTCATGTTTTAGTTCATTGTATGTTTTGTTTGGTTTATCTTGTTTTTAAAAGGTAATTACATTTACGTTCTTTTAATTTCATGTTCCAGATTTTAAGGTTTTTCTAATTTCTTAATTTTTTGTTTTGTTTTTTTGTTTTGTTTTTTTTGTTTTTATGTACTGTAGTGTTTTAACCAAACAGTTGTGGCTACTCATGGTGAGGAAAGACCGCTAAGAGTGTGGGGTCTTTGCAATACATTGGAGGTCACTGCTCCCGTTGATGTTAGGAGGTTGAGAGGTTTGCCTTAGGTAAGTGTCAGCCAGGGGGAGTGTCCCCTGGGTAGGTGGCGGTCCTGTAGGATAACAGAGCTGGGGCTCTGGGGGCAGTCTGGCCAGAGGGCAGGAGCCCCACCGTGACCAACAGGGTGCCTGCAGTCAGGGGAACACAGCCGTCAAGGAAGGTGGTCTGGAAATGTGTTTGGCTCATGCCTCTGGCTTTAGCCCAGCCTGAGTGGAGTCCCTAGTTTGCCCTTGCTGAGTAGTAGCTGAGGCCTGCATCTGGTGGGCACCTGGTGCCCCTGATGTGGGGCAGGTGCAAGTTCTTAGTGAGCTGCACCTGACGGACGTGTGTGAGCCAGCTTCGCCTTCTTTACCACTCCTTCTCGTGGTGGGCATGAAATGTAGCCTGCAGCCAGCTCAGACCAAAAATGCAGACATGAAGCTGCTCCTGCACCAGAGGAGCTGCTCTCTGGGCACTGCTGGTGTGTGGGCACTGTGGAGCAGCATCCCTGACCTCTACCAGTTCTGTGTGCTGACAACAAAGCTGTCCCTGCATCTCAGTCGCCCCCTTGAGAGGCTGTTGTAGAAGGTATGTGGCACTTGAGATTTCTTGTGTAGAGACTCAGGAAGCTGGTGGATGTCTTGCCCTGAGCCTGCAGGGAGTCAGGCCACCACAGTTGTGCAACTGCCCCCGAGTGCACTTTCTCAGTTCAAGCCCCGCCCTCACCCTGCTCTGGACAGGGAGGATCGTACACCTTCCTCTCCACTCCCCGACCCTCCTTTGGGGACCCCGAAACCAGTACAGGGAGCCTCCTTGGTTTCCCCAGCTGTTCTCCTCTGCCGTGAGGGAGCACAGAGAAGAGACCAAGGGGACACAAAGGCCATCTTCTGCCTGGGCGTCCCAGATGACCAGGACAATACTCAGGGTCATGTGGTCCTCCATATGTCTTAAGTAAGTATGAGGAGTGTTTAGGGGCAATTTTTGTTGATATTGTCCAGATTTTTTTTTATTTTTTTTTATTTTTTATTTATTGTCAGTCATGGGGCTTGAACTCTGGGCCTGGGCGCTGTCCCTGAGCTCTTCGGCTCAAGGTGACCGCTCCATCGCTTGAGCCACAGCACCACTAGACTTTCCTGCCCAGGCTGGCTTTGAACCATGATCCTCATAGGATTACAGGCACCCAGCTTGTCCAAAATTTTTAACAGGAAATACCATAAGAAAACAATGTGTTTCATGTTTTCTACCCTCAAATAGACACTTCTTTTTTTTTTTTTTTCCAGTCCTAGGGCTTGAACTCAGGGCCTGGGCTCTGTCCCTAAGCCTCTCTGTGGTCAAGGCTAGCGCTCTACCCCATAAGCCACAGCACCACTTCTGGCTTTTTCTAGTATGTGGTACTGAGGAATCGAACCCAGGGCTTCATGCATGCTAGGCAAACACTCTATCACTAAGCCACATTCCCAGCCCCCTAAAGAGATTCTTTAGCACTAACTACAGTGTATAAAAAATTGAGCTTTCTCCCTCACACCTTTGGTAGTGTCCTATTTTGTCAAAATGGACTTTGAGGCCATTTGAATTTATATTGATGTTAGGGCCAAACTTTGGCCAGTTCCGCCATGGAGAGAAGCATCACACACATCTGTCAGGCAGCCACAGGTGTGAGATGCTGTAGCTGTGTCCCGCCATTGCCTTCAGCCACAGCTGGGTAGGCAGTTCCTAGCGAACACGGGGGGAGAAGGGTGGGACCACCCCGCGTGGCGCGTAGCCACCTGCCCTGCGGCTGCCCCCTAGCTGAAGGCCCCCAGGTAAGGCATTTGCCCCAGGGTGCAACTGATTTCTGTCCGGCCACTGACTGTGAACTCACCCACTGTGTCCTCCATGTCCTCTGTGTCACATCATTCCTATCACTCACAGTTGCCCTGTGGAAGACGCAAACAGGAAGCCAGGTGGTGGCTGCTTCTGGGAGTCTTGAAGCAGCTGCCATTTGAGCAGAACAACTCAGAAGTGACTGGGCCAAGACAAGGAGCTGCCACGGGGCAGAGGGAGCTCATTCCCCCGTGAGCCTGTGGCCGCAGAGTCACAAGCAGCATCCTACGGCCCGTGCCGCCGCCCCCCAGCCTCCAGCACCGTGACCTGCAGTGACAGGCCTCCCCCTCCCTGTGTCTGGCCCTAGGGTCCAAACGATGAGATGTCTGAGTCCGGACAGTCCTCAGCCGCTGCCACACCCAGCACCACAGGCACCAAGTCCAACACGCCCACGTCCTCCGCACCCTCGGCTGCAGTCACACCGCTCAACGAGAGCCTGCAGCCGCTGGGGGAGTTCGGCGGCGGCACGAAGAACAACAAGCGGGCGCGGGAGAAGCGCAACAGCCGCAACATGGAGGTCCAGGTCACCCAGGAGATGCGCAACGTCAGCATAGGTATGCAGCCAGGCCCCGCCCCCTGCCGCCCGCCCAGGCCCCGGGAGCGGCCTTCCCCACCCGCCCCCCGCCGCTCGCCCAGGCCCCGGGAGCGGCCTTCCCCACCCGCCCCCTGCCGCTCGCCCAGGCCCCATTCCACAGTTAGAACCGTGAACCCACACTTCCACAACAAAGACCACAGGTGAGGCGGCTTTGACAGCGGAACTTTGTCTTCTTCTCATCCCATGTGATGTGTGGGCATGGCCGGCTCCTCAGCCCCCTTACGAGGCCTGCAGGTGACTGCCTCTTTCTGCATCCTCACGGGGCCCAACCGTGCGCCCCAGGCCAGTTGGATTAGTACCTGCCAGTTACCTCTTGTGGAGACTCAGACTCCACATCCAGTCCTCCTGTAATGAGAGAAAAAAGAACGTAGGAGTATTTGGTTTCCTCAGATACAACCACAAGGTGATGATCTGCTGAGTCCTGGTCTCAGGTTCTGGGCCCTCTGTGCACAGTGCTAGGGTCCAGACACCTGTCCAGAGGAGCTCTGTGAGCAGGGCCAGGGTTGGCAGGCTGTCCTCCGACCCCGGCTTCTCTGTACTCCACCAGGCATGGGCAGCAGTGACGAGTGGTCTGATGTTCAGGACATTATTGACTCCACCCCAGAGCTGGATATGTGTCCTGAGACCCGCCTGGACCGCACAGGAAGCAGGTACTTCCTCAGGCGGGCCCTGGGCTGGGGCTGCTTGTCTTCTGAGTTGGTCCCTTTGGTGAGCTGCTGCCTCACGCTCATGCCTGTTCCTGCAGAGTGGGGGTGGCGGTCAGCTGTCTGTCAGCTGTGACAGCATCGCTGGGATAATGCAGGTTGAAGTGGGTTCAAAAGTCAGTTGTTGACCCTGCCCCTTTGGCCTGTGGCAGCACAGCACATCACCCGGGGAAGCATGTGGCAGAGGAGGTAGCTTGCCTCCTGCAGGCCAGGAAATAAGAGGCTGCGGTCCCACTGCCCCTCAAAAGCACTCCCAAGGAGTTCACTTCCTCCAGTAGGCCTCCCACCCTAAAAGCTATACCACCTCCAAGGGCACCTCAGGCCGGGGACAAAGCCCTTCTTCAGCACGCGGCCTCCGGGGATGCCGCCTGTGACGGCGCTTTCCTCCTGTCTCCACAGCCCCACCCAGGGCATTGTGAACAAGGCTTTCGGCATCAACACTGACTCCCTGTACCACGAGCTGTCCACGGCGGGGTCCGAGGCCATCGGGGATGTGGACGAAGGGGCCGACCTGCTAGGTAAACACAGGCGTCCTCCCCACGTGGTTATGTGGCAGTAAGCGCTCAGCTCACCGCTTTGTTTGTGGTAAAGGGCAGACATGTCTCCCTGCCTAGATCTTTATTTTTTAATAGTTTGTTTGAGGGGGAATCTCATAACTCAGCTTCATCTCCTCAAGGTCTCCAGTCTTGCAACCATCAGCACTAAGTTATAAGTATGGCCTCATCTTAGAAGCCACTTGTCCCCCAAATTCACTCCACCTAAGCAGTCTGCTCAGGGAGGTCTCAGGAGAGCAGCGCTTCCCCAGAGCCTCTCCTTGAAAGAGTGTACAGAGCCCTTGCAGTTCCCGGACCCTTCTGTTTGTGTGGAGTCCGTCTTCCCAGGGCCTCTGAACACAGCAAAGCCCGGGCCACAAGGCCCCGAGTCCTCAGCCTTGCCCCTGGAGCCTTGAGTCCAACCTTGCTGCCCACAGCCCAGCTCTGGGCGAGCTCTCAGTCTCAGGCCATACTGGAGTCCCTCTTGCCCTCAGCAGCCCCACCAGGGTGGGCTTGTGGACTGCCGTGCCTGCGTGCTGGGTAGCGGGCCTCGTTTGGTTTCTGGCAGCTCACTCACCGTACCTCGCTACTTCTTTTTCACTGCTGCGCAGAATCAGCCCTGGCCAGGCAGCCCCCACACACACAGGCAGCTCGGGACTGTAGTGCTCCCAGAACGTGGTCCTGGCGTCACTCGCCCACACAAAGTGTCCTACATCTTAAAGTTTGCATCGCCACTCTTTGCCCTGTCATCTCCCACTGGTGAGCACAAGGACCTGTCCCCTGGCAGGAGGCCTTCTAGTCTCAGACACCTGGCTTTGAGTGTAGCAGAGGGCCAGCCTGGCCTACGTGATGTAGCATGCTCTTGTTCTAGGCTTGCTTGACTTGGCCTATGGGGCAGAACCCCCTCCAAAGAGCAGTATTAGAGGGTAGATTTCTAGAAGCAGAAGCATCGGGGGAGATGTGGGACTCTTGCTATGCCTGGCTTCCTGCTGTCTGTTTCTGGTCATCTTCTTCCACGCTGAGGCACGCGCTGTGCGGTGAGGCAGTTGTTCCTGTGGACTGGGTGTGGCCCTGCGGAGGTCCGCACTGTAGCGAGAACTCAGCATGACCTGCCAGTGGGCTCCGTGTGTGTGTGGTATGGCTGCGTCCTTCCGGCTGAGCGGTCTGTCCTGTGGACGGCCAGGCTCTGTGTACCCGGCACTTGCTGTCACGCTCGTACTGCCCTTGGCGTGTGTCTGTAGAGGGTGTCCCCTACTCATCTGTGCCCCAGCTGCCACACCGTCCCTCCTGCCATGCCTCCCTGTGCAAACACTGGCCACCAGCCAGCTCTGTCCCTGTCTGCCCCTCCTTACCTGACAGGGAGCTTCAGGGCAGTACGATGCCCCTGTGGTCCCCGCTGCCTCCTGATTCAGGCAGCTACCTTTGCCCCAAATATTACCTCCATATAAGAATCTCTAGGAGTAGCAAGGGGGAAGCAGAGAACTGGAAGCAGTGCGATAGGGAGGCTTAGCTAGAGACTCTGTCCCTCCTGGGAGCCGGGTGGGCCGCCTGCCTTACCTGGGTAATCAGTGGCACCTTTCCGTGAGAAAGGAGTCCTGATAGGGTACCGATGTCTTTGTTCCAAGGAATTGGACATTGGCTCCTGTTTTCTACCATTAACAAATATCACATGTGATGTGCAGTAGTGCCTGTACTGTCCTGCTCTGCGGGGCAGTGGCCATTCGATGCCACCTACCTTGGGTTTCCATGAGACCTGCATGTGAGGCAAATATGCAAGTGCCTGAGGCCTCCGTGTGCGGCGCCGCTGGGATGCTGAGTCAGAAGCCTGCTGTGGCTGCCACTGGAGGAGTGAGCTGCGGTCTGTGTGTCTCCATCCCGAGGGCTGACCTGGTATCTACGTTAAGCCAGGCCCCACCCATTCCTACAGCACTGGTGTTTTCCAGGGTGCACACAGTGGGGCTGCCTTGCAGCCTCGTCAGCCTGAGAGTGCTTCACAGCAAACAAGTCCTGGAATCTGAGGAGCACTGGAGCCCATGCACAGCACTGGAGAAACGCTGCTGCATGTCGTTGGTAGCGCTGGGAGGTATCCCATAGCCCTGAGGACTGGTGAGGGCTGCACATTTCACAGTGAGCAAGGACGAGGACCCAACCTACCACATGCTGTCTCCATCAGACCCGCTGCCCAGCAGGCTCAGGGATCGAACCCAGGGCCTCAGGCATGCAAGGCAAGCGCTCTACCACTGAGCCACCTTCCCAGCCCAGGCTCAGGGATTTCTGAGAGAAAACAATTTGCTTCTGATTAAAACTGAAGCATACCAGTGGTTAAGATACCTGCAGTTTTATAAATGTAGAAATGAGGAAAACACACATTTCAGAATTGGAGTGTAACAAGCCACTGCTGTGCTATTCCCGGCCCCATGTGTGTGGTCTGGTGGGAATTTCATACACGTGCACCTGAAGGAGCTAACCTTTCAGATTTACAAACACCAAGTCCAGAAGGCAAGCAGCTTGCTCTGCAGCGCTTCCTCAGATCTGCGTTCTATCAGCTGACCGGCTCATGCCCCGTTGCCTTCCATGACGTCTCATTTCGTGTGGTGGCAGCCCTGGATGTCTAGAAACTGACACCACATAAAGAAAGCCAGAAAACCTAACTTGGAAGTGGACGTGCGGCTCAAGGGGTGGAGCGCCAGCAGCCATGAGTCAGAAAGCTGAGTTGAGAGCAAGAGGCCCTGAATTCAAGCTCCAGTACAGAAATCACCACTGAGAGACACAGAAGCTGTCGGTACAAAGGGGAGCGATACCGCTCCCAGACCCAGTAGGTGAGTCCTCACACTGACAAGCAGCATCACAGGCCAGCCTGCTGCTGGAGCTCTCTGAAGCTTCTCAACCAGCAGTGCCTGTGCAAGAGAGCAGAGCCGGGCAGAGGTTGTACAGGAGCAAACTGGAAGGATCACCCTCCCTGAGGCCAAGGTCTGCCGTGGGCCTGGGAGCCTACAAGCAGCCTGCCTCAGGAAAAGTGGAGTCTGTTGCTGCTCCAACCAAAGTGAAGTGGTCCACTTTGCTGAAATACGGTGCAAATCTTATCCAGTGCCATGGAACAAGTAATTTCTAGATCTGTCTGTCAAAGATGTAAAAATAAAAATAAGAACCAGGGAAAGGACATTAGATAATTTTTTTTTGCGGTTATGGGACTTGAACTCAGGGCCTGGGTGCTATCCCTGAGCTCTTTTGCTGAAGGCTAGCACTCTACCACTTTGAGCCATAGCTCTTCTTCCAGTTTCCTGGTGGTTAATTGGAGGTAAGAGTTTCACAGACTTTGCTGCCCAGGCTGGCTTTGACCCACAATCCTCCAATCTCAGCCTCCTGAGTAGCTAGAATTACAGGCATGAGCCACCAGCACCTGGCTCTGGAGAATATTTTTATAATCTCGGCCTCTGCATGATTAATGATATCAAGGAAAATGACAGATGTGACTGTATGAAAATTATAAATATATGAAATATATATATATTAAAAATGTATTTAAGTATAACTACTTAAGATAATTTTTTTTTTTTTTTTTTTTTTGGTCCAGTCGTGGGACCTGAACTCTGGGCCTGGGCACTGTCCTCCAGCTCTTCAGCTCAAGGCTAGTGCTCTACCACTTGAGCCACAGCGCCACTTCCGGCTTTTTTTTTTCTTTTTGTTTATGTGGTGCTGAGGAATCGAACCCAGGGCCTCAGGCATGCAAGGCAAGCGCTCTACCACTGAGCCACCTTCCCAGCCCAAAGATAACTTTCTTAAAGGAAAAAAAGTACCAGATAATTAATTTAGTGTATATGGGGCTAGGAATTCAAAAAAGCAACTCTAAAATTCCAAAGGTCATTCAACTAAATCATGAAATAAAAATTAGCAGAGAATAAAAAGTCAGACAATACCCACAAATGTGAGGGGAAAAAAACCTGCTTAACTTTAAGATTAATAAAGGAAAAAGAAAAAAATAAAGGAAAAAGAAGATAGAGCTGTTTTTCTGTAAAGATTGGCAGGCATGAAGAGAATGAAGCCGACGGAGCTGGCCCTGCCTGCTGGGGCCGGCGGACGCGGGCCCTGGGTGTGCCGGAGGTATGAGGAGGGCATCGATTGCTGCCGGCAGTGAGGATGAGTGAGGAGACACTGCTCTATTTGAATCATCCAACCACTTATGTATTTTATTGTTTAAATCAAGCGGATTTTAAAATTCTGTTTTCGTTTTCTTTTTGGTGCCAGTGCTGGGGCTTGAACTGAGTTTTATAATCTTAATTCTTCTTTCCATTCAAGGCTGGCACTTTATCGCTGGCACACCTCCACTTCAGCTTTTTGCCAGTTAATTGGAGACAAGGTTCTCAGATTTGTCTACACAGGCTAGCTTCACACCTTGATCCTTAGATCTCAGCCTCCTGAGTAGCTAGTATTACAGGCATGAGCTACCAGCTTGTGGCTCAAGAGATTTTTAATGATTTCCTGACTTGCAAAATGGACCCAGCGAAACAAAGTGGTTTCATCAAATCTGTCGAAAGGCGTGTTTTCCCACCCATGCCCTGTTTCACTCTGATTATCCTCCCTGCTTCCAAGAGGATGGTAGTGCTCACCTATCAAGACCCCCCTTGGCATACTGCTGCTCCCAGTACATGCATACATACTTCCCCCCTCTTCCTCTTCTTGGTGGTGCTTGGGTTTGAACTCAGAGCCTCTTGTTTGCTGTGCATGCATTCTGCCTCTTGAGCTTTGCCTCCAGTCCATGTACCTCTCTTGCAGGCCTTCCTCATTGGAGGCCGGCTACCTGCTGAGCAGGTGGTGGGAAGAACAGGAACCAGCAATGGCCATGGTGCATGGAGCCTCCCAGGGCCTCTTGGGTGCTGAGGGGTGTCCATTCTGGCCTTTCTATGCCTTTATGGCTTCTGCCCCCATAGGATTTGTTACCCTGGACCTGCTAAAGTATGTTGTGTTGTTTTTCATGCCCTCCAACATGGGAATGGCTGAACCATGGTTGCTTTCTCTTTAATAAGAGTCTCTTTATTTGTTGGTTCCAGTCACCAATTGACCTTTGTCGCTTCCTTCCCCGTCTCTGCTTCGCTGGACGCCGCCCAGGGGAGTTCTCAGGTGTGTATCTCCTCTCTGTCTCCGTGTGTCCCTCTTCTCACTGTGGGGGGCAGCTGGAGCAGGGCGCACACATGGATGCTCCCCTGCGCTGTCCGTCACCCCGGGATGTACACGTTGACCCCTGCTGTCCATCTCCCAGGGCTGTCCACACTGAACCCCACTCTCTATCACCAAGGGCTGTACATGCCGACCCCTGCTGTCCATCACTGAGGGCTATACACACTGACCCTCACTGTTCATGGAAGCCCAGGGCTGTCCACACTGACCCCTGCTGGTCCCAGGGCTGTCCACACGGATCCCTGGCTTCTATCTGGCTGCCCCAGGCCACCAGGCCCTGGGCTTTGATCACAGCCTTCGGCTATCTGAAGGATGATTAGGTTTGCTCAGCCGGTCGCCAGAACCTCCATAGGTGTCTCCACTGCCATTAGGGACAAAGGATGTTTTTTAATGTACCCTATGAAGTGCACCTCACAAGTCTAGGGCCCCTGAGGCCCTTCCAAGCACAGCTCAGGGCCTCTGTCCTGGGCAGGTGGCCAGGCTGCACAGCTGACCTGCAGCCGGAGGCCTTGCGGGCTCCCTGCCCTCCCCTCCCCGCGTGCCCGCTAGTGTGCACAGTAGCAGCCAAACCCCTGGCACCGCTCCCCTCCCTCGTGCGGTGTCTTCGCCTGCCCTCTAGCCCAGCATGTGACGAGATGTTACTGCACTCATGGGTGGTTCTGGCTTGGCAGTCGGCTGCGCATCCAAGGATACTTTCTGGACGGAGTAGCCTGCTCTATCCTGCCTCCTGCCCTGAAGTACCACCCACCTGCTACTTCCACGGCTTAACGCTTCTTTTCTCTCCCTCCTCCCTGCCCCGTTGCCCGTCTCCCGTGGGACTGGGACGCTCCCGTAGTGCGCGATGATTTTTTTGGTAAGGCCAAGGCCCTGCTTCGGTGTGTGCTTCTCTCTTCCTAGCTTCCTCTCTACCCAACATCTCATGCTTCATGAGCCGTTCGCTTTGTGCTGCATGGTGGGGGTAGCAGGGCTCAGTGGGGGCCATGGGCTTTCTGAACACTGTAGGACTGGGGTTAGGTGACACTCCATCTAGGACAAACTGTGGTTGGTTGGCTCTGAGCCTCCCAGACCCTGCCTGTTCCCCTTGGGTCCATGCTGTGCCTGCCCAGGGAGAAGCCGCACATGCTCCCAGTGTGGAAGGCCAGAATGGACAGTGGCAGGACTCTTGCCCCAGGCATCATCACGTCACTGCCTTGGGAGTGGGGGCGGGCTGGGCCCTGGCACTTGGTGCTGTCTTGAGGATCTCGCTGTGTTCTTCCTGGCTAACGGGACATGCCTGCAGGGAGCTCCGTCTGGGGGTCTGCTTGGGGCGGATCCCTTCCTCCTCATGTCCACTCTGCCCTCTGCGTCCTGCTGTCCCCCCATCCAGGACCAGCAGGCCCTCCTTGTAACCCCAAGGACTGTACCTGCCATGGTCATGCCAGCACGTGGCCAGCTTTTCCAAGTCCTGTGCTGTTGTCATCTGTCCTGGCACTGCTGCTCCACCATGCATTCATTTGGCGGGGAGTGGGGTTCTGAAAGTCACCTGCAGATCTGAGGGAGGGGCGCACATGAAGCAGCTGCCCAGAGGACAGTCGGGGTCTTGATAGTACACATCCCCTCGTGGGGAAGTTATGAGAAGTAAAATACCCAAAGCCACGGATGTGAGTCCCAGGCAGCCAGTTCCACCGGCATAGCTGGCTGGAGAGCACAGGGCTGCATGGGCCTCTCCACGGCTCAGTTTCCCCGTCCTCACCCCTTCTGCTGTCATCAGAGCACAGGAAAGTTCCTTACGAGGGCAGAGTCAGGTACGGTGGTCACAGGCTCAGGGAGAACCACACCTCTCGTTTCAGGAATGGGCAAAGAAGTGGGAAACCTGCTGTTGGAAAATTCACAGCTCCTAGAAACCAAGTAAGAGACCTTCTGTGCTCCAGCTGGGCAGCCTTTGGCCCGGCTGCAGCCTGCCCCAGGGCAGGGCCCACTGGAGGGGCCCTGGCTCACACAGCAGGGTTCACCTTCCTGGGTGGATGTCCACACAGACAGGACCATTTCTGTCAACTCGTCCGGGAGGGGGAGGTTTGTCACCGGACTGCGGTTCATTCCTTTAGTAGGACTTGGAGACAGGGGGACCCTGGAATCCGGTGCTGAGGGTAGACAGGCGGGTGTGCCTTCTGAAAATGGGAAGGTGCACTCGGACCCCCAGCATCCCAGTTACATAGTACATGTGGGCTCATGGCAAGCCCCCTCTTTCTGCTTTCTGAAGGAACGCTTTGAACGTGGTGAAGAATGACCTCATTGCCAAGGTTGACCAGCTGTCGGGGGAGCAGGAGGTACTGAAAGGGGAGCTGGAAGCTGCCAAGCAGGCCAAGGCTAGACTGGAGAACCGAGTCAAGGAGCTGGAGGAAGAGCTAAAACGGTGAGTGGCTCTCCGCTCACAGTGCGGGCCCGGGCGCTGACGCCTCCACAGCCTGCCTCTCCTCTGCATGTCCTCCTCAAATTTTGCCTCCACCTGCAAACCCTTCCCCCAGTCCCTCAACTTCCTCTCGGCTTTGGCTCCAGATCCAACCAATGTCTCCTCTGGAGCCTGCCACGCTATGGCCAGGTGCAGCATCCTGTCCTGTGTGACCCTCTGGTATCAGTCTTAGTACAGCTCTCACCCTGTTCATTCAGGAGGAGGGGCCCTGGAAATCAGGTCTACTCTGGACTTGTCTGACCAGCGCTGGCCTGCCCCGCCATCCCTCATTTCAGTCTTTTTCAGCCTTTGCCCCCCTCCTCCTTGGTGAGAGCAGTCAGATACCTGGGCTTTGAGGCCCTGTGAAGCAGTTGTTGGGATTGCTGTGGGACAGCCATTGAGTTCTGGGCAGTCCTGAGGCCTGGGTCGGATGCTCACCTGCCTGCTTCCTCCCTTGTCTACAGAGTGAAGTCTGAGGCTGTCATTGCCCGTCGTGAGCCCAGAGAAGAGGTGGAGGATACAAGCAGCTATCTCTGTACAGAACTGGTATATGCTACTATTAACTGTGCACACAGCCGGGGAGCGGGGGGGAGGAGGGCAGGGGCACAGGGCAGGCTTCCTGGGCTTCCCCCTCCCGCAGGACCCCTGAACCTCCCTTCCTGGCTTTCCGTTTACCCGGGACTTATTTCCCAGTGTCACACTCCTTCGGCAGGTCCTGCCCAGAGTGACCCCAGTCCTCAGCCTACACGTGATCTTAGCTAAAAGGCCAAGAAACAATATATAGAGTCCTCTCTGCAATTATGTTTTGGTGGTCTAGGGTTTGGACTCAGTGGCTCGAGCTTGCTAGGCATATGCTCTGCCACTTTAGTCCCGTCTCAGCCCCTGTCCTGGTGGGCGCCTCCTCCAGTTACAAGCAGGTCTCCCTGCCCCCAAGGTGGCTGCAGAAGCAGCTGCTGTCACGCACTGCCTCTCCAGGCCCCGCGCACCCTGGTGGTGCTGAGGAAAACCCTCTTCAGCCTGCGCACAGGGCCTCCCTGAGAGCCCCCATCTTCCCCCAGAACAGGCCCCGGAGCGCAGGCCCCCAGCCCATGCCTCACCCTTTATCTGCTCCTTCACACCGGGGTGCAGCAAGGGTACAGTGAGGGTTCAAGGCTGGACTAGGCTACGTAGCAAGACACGGGAACAGTCGGAGCGGGCCAGGCACCGCCACTCCTGCCCGCGATGGACTCCCCCTGGGAAGTGTCACATCTTTTATTTCGGTTGTCCCCATTTCTGTCTCAGCTCTCACAGATCACGTTTTTCCTGAAGAGTCCATCCTCCTTATTTCCTTATTAACAGGTCCAGAATCCCATCAAGTCTTTTTTTTTTTTTAACAGTTGGTTTCTATTAAAAGGTGGCCACATTTAGTAAGCTTTGCTTGCTGGGCTACAGTGGCTCACTCCTATAATCCACCTCCTGGAGAGATGGAAATTAGGAGGGAAGATCACTGCTGGGAAAGTTACTGAGACCCCATCTCAACTATGAAAAGCTGTGGCATGAGCCTGTCATCCCAGCTACTTTGTGTCATGGCCTCAGAGTCAGCGGTGCTGTTCTGGAGAAAGCCAGCCCTGGTGGGCAGGTGGGCTTTCCACTCACATCCTCCTAGCCCACAACTCTGTCACCGCCACGGGTGCATGGGTTACCGGATATCCGTACACAGCCGCGCCCATCTGGAGGCCATGTCCCCACCCAGGTGGCAGGAGACGAGCCGTGAGAATTGCCTGCCCTCACTGGCCTGAACGAAACTGCCCGTCCCCTCCGCAGGACAAGATACCCATGGCCCAGCGCCGCCGCTTCACTCGGGTGGAGATGGCACGGGTGCTCATGGAGCGCAACCAGTACAAGGAGCGGCTCATGGAGCTGCAGGAGGCCGTGAGGTGGACCGAGATGATCAGGTGGGTCCCGTCGCTGAGCTCGCCTCTCCAGTTTGGACCGTGGTCACTGAGCACAAAGAGCAGGCCAACCTCCCCCACCTCCCCTCCCCTCCTCTGCAAAGGATAGACGGATGCGAAGGGGGAGGGGGAGGGAGGGAGAAGAGGGAGAGGCCTCTGGTGGCAGCCGGGGGTCCCAGGTAGTAGTCTCAGCCAGTTCCTCCTTGCCTCCCCTTCAGGGCATCGCGAGAGCACCCGTCTGTTCAGGAGAAGAAGAAGTCCACCATCTGGCAGTTGTGAGTAGGCACCCGGGGGGTGGGCACCTGGGGAGGGCGGGCCCCCAGGACCAGGTGCACGCCCTCTGACTCCTGTGTCTCCATCCTCAGCTTCAGCCGCCTCTTCAGCTCCTCCTCCAGCCCGCCTCCCGCCAAGCGCTCCTACCCATCAGTGAACATCCACTACAAATCCCCCACCACTGCCGGCTTCAGCCAGCGCCGCAGCCACGCCATGTGCCAGATCTCAGCCGGCAGTCGGCCTCTGGAGTTCTTCCCGGACGAGTGAGTGTCCAGCCTTTGCTGTCCCTCAGATCATATGAGGAGGGAGAGGGCTGTGCAGCCCGGGACAAGCCCGGACCTGGGACACACGGAACCTCCATGTCCTCCCGATCAGTGACTGCACCTCCTCCGCCCGGCGTGAGCAGAAGCGTGAGCAGTACCGCCAGGTTCGAGAGCACGTACGCAATGACGATGGCAGGCTGCAGGCCTGCGGCTGGAGCCTGCCTGCCAAGTACAAACAGGTGCGCGGCCTGGGCGGGCTGGGCAGGGAGGGCCGGCGTGGTGCTGGGACTCGGAGGAACGCCCCGCCTGCAGGTGGACGGTCTGGCCTTCCTGCCAGGCCTTGAAGAGGCAGGCCCCTACCCAGTTTGTGCTGCAAAAAAGCCAGAAGTGTGCTGTGAGTCGGGTTTCTGGAGGACGGTGTCCCTGCACCTGGCCCAGACCCACAGCCTCTCCCTGCTCTGTTGCAGCTGAGCCCCAGCGGGGGCCAGGAGGACACGCGGATGAAGAACGTCCCTGTGCCTGTGTACTGCCGCCCCCTGGTAGAGAAGGACTCCACCATGAAGGTGAGCCCAGAGGACTGCACCCCGCCTGCGCGGGGGCCTGGGAGGCGGCCCTCCGCAGCCGGCAGGGAGCTGCGCCCCAGCCCACAGCCCTGTCCTTGCAGCTATGGTGTGCCGCTGGTGTCAACCTGAGCGGGTGGAAGCCAAGTGAAGAGGACTCTGGCAATGGAGTCAAGCCGATTCCCGGCCGTGACCCTCTGACCTGTGACCGGGAAGTGGAAGGCGAGCCCAAGAGCGACCATGCGTCCCCTGAGAAGAAGAAGGTCGGTGTGGTGATGATGCTGTGGGCCTGTCCCTCTTGGCACTTGTAGAGGGAGGGACCCGGGTGCTGTGCTGGGGAGCCAGGAGGCAGGTGCTGCCCGTGCAGGCCAGCTGCTGCTTGGTCCTCCTCAGGGTCTGTAGTCCCAGGGTCTGTGCCATGAAACATGGCCGCCGCACACAAGAGGAAGATAAAACGTTTTGGGGTGGAGCCCAGGACATAGACGTGCACCCAGCTTGACCTAGGGTGGGCACCTAACCTCTCAGCTCATGGTCTTCCTCCTGGAAGCCATCACTCGATGTGGTTCTGAGTTCTTGTCAAAGCCTGGGGAGGCCAGCTAGTCTGGAGCTGGGGCCAAGACTACATCCTAAGCTGGGCACTGGTGCCTCACGCCTGTCAGCCTAGCTACTCAGGAGGCTGAGACCTGAACATCACGGTTCAACGCCAGCCCGGGCAGGAAAGTCTGTGCAAGTCTTATCTCTAATTAACTACCAGAAAGCCAGAAGTGGTGCTGTGGTTCAAGTGGTAGAGCACTCACCTTGAACTGAAGAGCTGAGGAACAGCGCCCAGGCCCAGAGTTCAAGCCCCACGACCCACATAAAAAAAATTTTAAAAAAAAGACTACATCCTATAATCCCCAAGGAGACTCGGTAACACACTGCTGCTGGGGTGGCCTCAAGTTCAGGAGCCAGCCTTGGACTCCCTCATCTCTGCCACAGGTCAAGGAGGCGCCGGAGACCGATGCCACCTCCAGCCGGGTGTGGATCCTCACCAGCACCCCAACCACCAGCAAGGTGGTGATCATTGACGCCAACCAGCCCGGCACGGTCGTGGACCAGTTCACAGTCTGCAACGCTCACGTCCTATGCATCTCCAGCATCCCCGGTGAGCCTGGGCACTGCCCTTTGAAGTTGGCACTTGGGGGAAGGCTGGCTGGGACACCTGGCGAGCATGTGTGAAAGGCCTGGGTGCCAGGAGTAAGTGGACACTAGCTGTTTGTGCCACTTAAGAGCCCGGGCCGGGGTCCAGAGGCGGCTCTGGGCGTGCACAGGGCACGGGCCATCCCGTGACTTCATAGCCTCAGCCTCCGCACCATGCTGGGGACCAGGTGATGAAGGCTGTAGGTCTGCTGTGAAACCTTGCCCCTGAGCTGAGACACCCTAAGCTTCCTAGAGCCACCACTGTCACGTGATCAGCCATTTATGCTGAGGACCTGACTCTCAGCTCCCCCCAGCCCAGGGGCCCAAGTAGCGGAGCCAGCTTGCTGGACTCCAGGTACTGGTCCTACGGGCGCTGTGTGTAGCTCGGCTGGCCGCCCCTCCTGCTGTCTCTGTGATTGGGCCATGGAGGGCCTGTTTGGCGTTAGACTAACCTGGCGGCTGTGCCTCCTCCCCCAGCGGCCAGCGACAGCGACTACCCCCCGGGGGAGATGTTCCTGGACCGCGATGTGAATCCCGAGGACTCCAGCGCCGACGGCGTGCTAGCTGGCATCACCCTGGTGGGGTGTGCCACCCGCTGCAACGTGCCACGGAGCAACTGCTCCTCCCGGGGAGACACCCCCGTGCTGGATAAGGGGCAGGGTGAGCCCCAGGCAGCCGCCTTCTCCCCCCACCCCCTGTCCTCCACTTCGACGCAGCCCAGCTCACCCCTCCTTCCATAGGGGAGGTGGCAGCCACGGCCAGCACGAAGGTCAATCCATCCCAGTCCACGGAGGAAGCCACGGAAGCCACAGAGGTGCCAGACCCTGGACCCAGCCAGCCGGAGGCCACTGCTGCTCGGCCTGGGCCCCTTACAGAGCATGTGTTCACTGACCCGGCACCCGCCCCACCGTCCAGCACCCAACCTGCCAGGTGGGCTCCGCAGGCCAGGGAGAGGGGAGCGGAGGGGAGGCTGCCCCAGGCAGGAGGGATCAGCACCCACACAGAGGCAGGCCTCTGCACCTCCCTGGAGCTGCCACGTCCCGTCTGTAGTGAGGACAGGCCGGAGCCAGGTGTCAGCAGGGAGCAGCCGCCGCTCGAGCCCAGCGCAGAGCCCTCGGCATCCATCAGCAGTGCGGCACCCACCATGTGGCTGGGAGCCCAGAATGGCTGGTAGGCCGGGCCAGGGTAGGGGTGGGAGGGGCCCTGGAGTGAGCCCCGCTCACCCCGCCTCCGCCCACAGGCTCTACGTGCATTCAGCCGTGGCTACCTGGAAGAAGTGTCTGCATTCCATCAAGCTGAAGGACTCCGTGCTGAGCTTGGTGTATGTGACCCAGCGTAGGGCTGGGTCTCGGGAGGGGCCTGGCGTGGCTTCTTGGCCTCAACCTAGCGTGCTGTCTCCCTGTTCCAGGCACGTGAAAGGCCGCGTGCTGGTGGCTCTGGCGGACGGGACCCTGGCCATCTTCCACCGTGGCGAAGGTAAGTCCTGAGACGGGTCACAGCGGCTCCGTAGACGGGAGGTGGGCCTGGCCCCAGCCAGGCCTGAGTGGTCCTGGGCTCTCTCCAGATGGCCAGTGGGACCTGAGCAACTACCACCTGATGGACTTGGGCCACCCGCACCACTCCATCCGCTGCATGGCCGTGGTGTACGACCGCGTCTGGTGCGGCTACAAGAACAAGGTGCACGTCATCCAGCCCAAGACGATGCAGATTGAGGCAAGTGCCGCAGCCCAGACCCGGGGAAGATGGGCTCCGGCTTCCCAGCGGAGTCCACAAGGAGCCACCCACTCGGGTCCGTTTTGTTGAAGGTCATGGGCAAACAGCTACAGGTGCATGTTGCCGTGTGCCTGGAGCCTGCCCTCAGCTGGGTATCTGCCTCGGGGACACACGCTCCCACCTCCACTAGGGCCCCTCTCTCATGACCAGGGGGGCTACACGGACATGGGGACACAAGACATGGCAGTGAGTTCCAGTTTCCCTTTCCTGCGTGCCCCGCCCTGTTAATGGGCTGCCGTGTCCCCCACAGAAGTCATTTGATGCCCACCCAAGGCGGGAGAGCCAAGTACGGCAGCTGGCATGGATTGGCGACGGGGTGTGGGTGTCGATCCGCTTGGACTCCACCCTGCGGCTCTACCACGCCCACACCCACCAGCACCTGCAGGATGTGGACATCGAGCCCTATGTCAGCAAGATGCTGGGTGAGGGACCGTGTGGCGCAGGGACGCGGGGCCCCAGCACGGGCGAGCCACGCTAACCTTCTCCCATCCCCCCCAGGGACCGGCAAGCTGGGCTTCTCCTTTGTGCGCATCACCGCCCTGCTCATTGCAGGCAACCGCCTCTGGGTGGGCACCGGCAACGGGGTGGTCATCTCCATCCCCCTGACTGAGAGTGAGTGCCCCTCTCCCAGGATGGAGCCAGTGGCGGGCCGGGTGGGCGGTGCTCCCGGACACGCCGGGAACTAACCAGCCTCCCTGCCTCTTTCTCAGCCGTGGTCCTCCACCGAGGCCAGCTCCTGGGGCTCCGAGGTAAGTCCTCCAGCGTGCCTCCGCTCCATCCTTCCCCCCTCGCTAGAAATGAGGTGGCTCTGCCCTCCTCCTCCTCTGTCTCTAGCCAACAAGACTTCCCCCACATCTGGAGAGGGAACCCGCCCAGGGGGCGTCATCCATGTGTACGGGGACGACGGTAGTGACAGGTCCGCCAGCAGCTTCATCCCATACTGCTCCATGGCCCAAGCCCAGCTCTGCTTCCACGGGCACCGCGATGCCGTCAAGTTCTTTGTCTCGGTGCCAGGTGAGTGAGGGGCAGCGCGCACCTGCTCTGCCCGCGGCCCCATAGCATGTGGCCATGGCCCCTTCAGGAGGCTGCTGCCTTGAGTCCCCTGCCCACCACAGGGAACGTGCTGGCCACGCTCAACGGCAGCGTGCTCGACAGCCCGACCGAGGGCCCGGGGCCCTCCATGCCTGCCGTGGAGGCCGAGGGCCAGAAGCTGCGGAACGCACTGGTGCTCAGCGGCGGGGAAGGCTACATCGACTTCCGCATTGGTGAGTGGGTGCTGGTGGGGCGGGCCTGGCTGGCAGTGGCGGTGGAGAGCTGCGCTCACAGCTGCAATCGCTCCGCTCCAGGGGACGGAGAGGACGACGAGACGGAGGAAGGCACCGGGGACGTGAGCCAGGCGAAGCCCGGGCTGTCCAAGGCTGAGCGCAGCCACATCATTGTGTGGCAGGTGTCCTACACCCCTGAGTGAGGCCCTGCCCTGCCTGATGCCAACCTGTACATAGGACCCCTGCCCGCCTGCTCCCGCCTGTCCCCCTGGGGCAGCCAGACACTCATCCACCCCCTCTAACCTCTCAACGTGCAGCTTTCACCTGAGCCCTGGGCCCCGCGGGCAGGGAGGTGATGCTGTCGCTGGAGGGCGGGTGTGGGTGTCACTCCTGGTGAGGGGGGGAAGGCCCTCCGCACCTCCTCCCCAGCAGCTCCCAACCACTGCCCCGCCCAGCTCCCTGGAGCCCAGGGGCACCCTGGAGCCAGCCCTGCGGAGGCCCGGCCCCCTCACCACTGCGGAGGAGGCCCCTCCTCCGGCGTCCCAGTGCTCTGCATGCAGTCCCTGGGCTGGGGCCATGGCTCTCAGACCCTTGTTCCACAGAGGAGCCGGGCCCAGCCACCATCCTCTGCCCAGAGAGAGGGGGCTCGGACTGCTCAGGTACCTGGACCCCAGCCCATCTTCTCTGGCCTTCCCACCCCAAGCCCATTCCCTTCACCCCGACCCGGGCTGCGCCCGCAATCTGGCATGGAAGCTCGGGCAGGGGCAGCTGCTTCAGAAGATGAACCGGACACTCCATATCCCACTGGAGCCTGAGGCTGTCGGCCCTTCATTCCCCACGTCCCCAGGCTCTCCCTGGGCACAAGCCCCACCGCCAAGGAGCAAACCCCTGCTGCACTGCCCCTCCCAGAAGCCCCTTGGGTGGAATTCTCAGGCTGCCGTGGCAGGCGCAGGCCTCAGGAAGAAGGGAAGGCCCGGCCTCCCCTGGGTCAGGCCTAGGGTGCAGGCTCAGCCTCAGGTTGGTGGGGGATGGAGTGCTCCTGGGGCCTGCCTCCTGCACAGGGCTCCATGGCGTCCAGCTCCCAGACACGTACTAAGTGCCTAGGGTTGCCCTCTGTGGCCTGCTCCCCCGGAGAGCAACTGAGGAGAGGCTGCCAGGCAGAGGCCAGGGCCGAGGGTGGGGCCGGGCAGCCCCGCGATAGGGGGGTGTCGTGGGTCGCTGGGCGCGTCCACCTTCCAGCCCAGGCCTTATTCCCGCTCTAGAGGCCCCGCCACCCCCTCCCACCAGAGAAGCACAGATCTCGGGGAGCTGCCCCTTGAGCCCGGCTGGCCACGGCAGGCTGCAGGCTTCTCCCCACTGCCCTGCCACCTCTCCACTGTGATGTACGTCCTTTGTCTGTTCCTACAGGAGCATGAAGTGACTGGGGTTAGCTGGGCGGGTGCAGCTGGAGGAAGGGGCCGGGCGCAATTCTCCTCAAGCTTTGGCCCTGCAAGTGAACCCACATATCTGCCCTGTATGTAATAAACGTCTGAACACCGCACCTCCACGTCCTGAGCCCGGCCCACGAGCCTGACACAGGTTTTCGGCAGTTTATTATGAAAGGAGAGGGGGAGAGGGCCCCGGAGGCAGGTGCGCGCTTCCGGCCGGCTATTCGCGCAGCCAGCGCGCGGCGCCGTCCTCCCCGCACAGCAGCTCGTCCGCGCCGAACCACAGCGCGATCTCCCGGCGGGCGCTCTCCGGAGAGTCGCTGCCGTGGACCAGGTTCCTGGGGGGAGGGGGGGGGGCGCAGTGAGCCGCGGGGCTGGGGGAGCGGGGCGGGCACGGTGAGCCGCGGGGCTGGGGGAGCGGGGCGGGCGCGGTGAGCCGCGGGGCTGGGGGGGCAGGGCGGGCGCCGCGCCACGCACTCACTTGCCGACCTCCACGCAGAAGTCCCCTCGGATGGTGCCGGGCCGGGCGTCCGCCGGGTCCGTGGCCCCAATGAGCGCCCTCGAGGCGCGCACCACGTCCGGCCCCCGCCACACCTGCGGGCGCGCGGGTCAGCGGGGAGGCCCGGGCCGCCCGCCCCCCGCCCGCCCGGACTCACCATGGCCACCACGGGGCCCGAGCGCATGTAGTTCAGCAGGCGGCCGAAGAAGGGGCGCCCGCGCAGCTCGGCGTAGTGCTCGCGCAGCAGCTCCTCGGAGGCCTGGGGGTGGAGGCCGCCTGCGCCAGCGCCCGGACCCGCACCCGGCCCCGATCCCGACCACAGCTCCGACCCGGCCCCGCCCCGATCACAGCCCCCGCCCGCGCCCCGGCCCCGATCACAGCCCCGGCCCGGCCGCGTCCCCGCCCCCGCCCCACCTGCACCAGCTTCAGGGCCACCAGTTTGAAGCCCTTCCTCTCGAAGCGCCGCACCACCTCGCCCACCAGCCGCCGCTGCACGCCGTCCGGCTTCACGGCCACGAACGTGCGCTCCTGCGCGGCGCCCGGGGCTGCGGGGACTCGGCGTCAGGCCCCGCGCCGGCCGCCCTCCCCCCCCCCCCGCGGCGCCCCGCGCCCCCCGCGCTCACCCGCCGGGAAGAGGTTGGCGAAGATGGTCAGCACCAGGCAAATCATGGCGATGGCGGGGCGGGGCGGGGCGGGGCGGGGCGGGGCCGCCCTTAAAGGGACGCGCAGGCGCCGATCGCCCCACCGCACCCCGGAGCCGGGGCCCGGGGCGCAGCCGCTGCTCGCCCTCCCCGCGCAAAGAAACACAGCCCGGGCCACTGCGTGCGTTTATTGCCGTTCACTGAGGGCGGGGCGGGGCGGCCAGGCTCCCCGGCTCCCCCAAGGTCCAGGGCCTCCGACCCGCAGGCGGCGGGCGCCGCGGCCCGTCAGCCGTCAGCCGCGGGGCGCGGGGCGCGGGGCTCCAGCCGGGCGGGGTAGTCCCAGGGCTCCGCGCGCGCCCTCGCGAGGCTCAGCAGCGGCTCCTCGACGCTGGGGTCCCCGTTTTTCTGCCTCTCGGCCAGGATCATGGCCCGCAGGAGCGGCGGGTAGGGCACCGGCGGCGGGGCGCCCGCGGGCGCGGGCGCGGGCGCGGTGAAGGCCGCCTCCTCGTGCTTGGGCACCAGCCGCCAGTCGTGGTACATGACCTGCTCGATCTCCCGGGCCTCGCCCTCCGTGCGCCCTGCGGAAGGCGAACGGCCGCGTGAACGGCCCGGGCTGGGCTCCCCGCCCGCCCCCCTCACCGCGCGCCAGCGCCGGCCTCACCCTTGAAGGTCAGGACGCCCCAGGCCTTGCCGTGGTCCAAGTTCTGCGGAGAGAAAGGGGCTCGACTCAGAAAACGCCCTGGCCCCGGGACGGGCCCCGGTCGCCGACGCGGGGGGCGGGGCGCACCTGGGCCGCGTGGTCGGGGCGCACGCGCGTGAGGCGCCAGTAGCACGGCTCGTCGTGCTGCCACAGCCAGGACTTGCGCGTCACCAGGCGGCCCAGGCCGAAGGCCGGGAGGCGGGCGAGCAGCTGCAGCAGGCGGCTCTCGCGGCGCACGTCGGCCCCGGCGCGCGCCGGCAGCCGGCGGCCCGAGAACGGCCGCGTCAGCGACCCGTAGTCCAGCGCGTAGCGCTGCGAGTCGCGCGGCCGGTCGCGCTGCTCGCGCAGGGCGCGCACGCGGCGGGCCAGCTCGGCGATCAGCCGCGGCCGGGGCTTCCGCGCCATGGCCGCGTCCGCGTCCCTGCCCGGCCGGAAGTCGCGCTCCCCAGGCCCGCCCCGGCCGGAAGCGGGCGCCGCGAGAGGCGGGGCCGTGGCGGAGGTGCGGCCCCCGGGGGCCGCGGGCTCGCGCCGGGGCCGGGGCCGGGGCCAGGGGCCGGGCTCGCGGCGGGCCCCCACCTGGGAGATCTCCGACTCGGACGCCGAGGCCGCGGAGGCCCCGGCGGGAGCGCGGAGGGCCGCCGCCCGGGTCCCACGTCCCGAACGAGTCCTTCGGAGCCTGGTGGTGTGCGTGGACCCAGGTGCGGGCGCGGGGCGCGCGGGGCCCGGGCGGGAGCGGGGACGCCCGCGGCTGGCCCCGGCCCTGACCGCGCCGTCCGTCCCCGCGCGCAGCCGTCCTGGAAGACGCCGGCGCCGACGTCCTGCTGGCGGCCCTGGGCGCGCTGGGCTGCGAGTGCCGCATCGAGCCGCAGCGCCCGGCCCGCAGCCTGCAGTGGAGGCGCGGGGCCCCCGGCCCCCGAGCCGTGCGTGTCGCCGGCCGAGCGGTGAGGCGCTGCCCCGGGTTGCAGCCGCGCGGAGCCGTGGGCCGGCCGCGCGCCGTGGGCTGCGGAGAGCGCGGCCCTGCGCCCCCGGGCTGAGCGGCCGACCGCGGCGCCCCGTGTCCCCCAGGTGCCTTCTGAGCTGCCAGCCGAGGACGCGCCGGACCTGCTGCTGCTGCTGCTGGAGCCCCACGAGTTCCTGCTGGGCGCTGCCCAGCTGACACAGGTACTGGAGGGAACGCAGCCCTCCCTTGCCCTGGGCTGGGTTCCCGGGCCCGTCTGGTGCTGGCTCAGGCACAGAGCTCATCACCCTGGAGAGCTGAGCCCGGGAGAGAGGTCTGGGGCTTGGGCTAGGGGCGGGTGGTTGCTTAATGCTCGGTAGACTTGAGCAGTGGAGAGAGCGCACCCAGGGTCTGCGGGCCAGCATTTGTTGACCGTCCACTTAGGAATCAGTCAAGGATCAGGCCCAGGGACAGCAGTCTAGGAACAAGGGAGCACGCTCCTTTCTTCCTGATCTGGGGTGTGGTTGGCACTACTAAAGCCCCCTTGGCCTAGTGGGGGGGGGGCAAAGAGTTTTCTTCAGAGAGCTAGCTGGGAGAGGGAAGACAAGTCATCTGGCGGCTGGGCAGAGCGGTGGCATGCTGCCAGGGCCCTGGGGCAGACACCATGCTCTCCCCCCACCCCGCAGGCCTCAGGCCTCCCTTCCTCCGTGCCCTGGATTTCTCCTGAGAGCCCCAGCCGCCCCCACCTGGCTGTCATCGGCCTGGACGCCTACCTGTGGTACCAGTGACCCTAACACACCTGGCAGGGGCAAGGGCACCCCAGGGTCTGCGCTGCCACAGCCCACCCCCCACACACACACACCACAGCTGGGCAGAGGGGCTCTAGGGCGGCTCCCAACCCTGGGCTTGGGGGTGTGGGGGTCTGGAAGGTCACTTTCGCCTAGGTCTCAGCATCCAAGCACCCAGCCAGAGGATCCACCGGAGGCCCAGCAGGAAGCAGCCACCGGCTGGCCCAAGGTGGAAGAGGTGAGCGCCAGCCTGACCTGGGAGACCTGGCTGGCCTTGGTCTTGGCAAGGACAGGTAAGGCTTGGAGAACAGTTAGGTAGAACTAGGGCTCCCGCCTCCAGCCCCCCTTCTACCTACCCTCCCCAGGCCCTCGTGCTCCTCCAACTCCTGGCCGACATGGACGTGCTGCTGGTGGACTCGTGGCAGGAGCTGAGTCAGCACGTGTGTGCACTCACGAAGGCCCTGGCCCAGCGCCCCTGCAAGTAAGGGGCTGGACAGGGGCAGGGGGGGGGGGGCTCTGCCCCGCTGGCTGCAGGGGAGTTTCTAAAAGCCCTGCTCACCTCGTTTTAGGCAGCATCGGGACACCCACACCTTTGCCTTCTGCACAGCAGGGCGCTGGGCCTCTGGCCAACGAGTGGCCAGAGATGGCTCGGGACTCCGGGGAGTGTGGTGGAGGCAAATCAAGCAGTTTAATCGCGTCAGCCCGGCTGTAGCTGAGGCCATAGTTGCTGCCTTCCCCTCCCCCCGCCTTCTGCAGGAGGTGAGTCCTCGTTCCCCACCCCTCCCCGGGGCAGAGACCGAGGCCTACCCCGTTCATTTCTGTGCCTGCCACAGGCCCTCTCTGCCTGCAGCACGGAGCAAGAGCGCCGGGGCCTCTTGGCCAACCTCCCTGTGAATGTCCAGGGCGGGCGACCCCGCAGGGTGGGCCCGGACCTCTCCCGCCGCATCTGCCTCTTCCTCAGCACCACCAACCCCGACCTCCTGTTGGACCTGGGATCTTGACCTTGCCTGCGGGTCCCTGCAGCATGCAGAACAACACGGCACATGTACACGCACGCACCACACAACACACGTGTTCTCACACACCCCAGGCTCTGGGATGGACCAGCGAGTCAGCGGAGAGCAGACCCTGTCAGGCAGGTGGGCGAGGCCCCGCACACTTCCGTAGTCTGCCGTGAACTGTCCCTGGTGGTCTGATGTGAGCTACAGAGGTGGTGAGGGATGGCGGGAGCCCTGGGGTGCACAGAAGCATGTGCTCCCCTCATGGGGGGTGGACAGTCAGAGGACCTGCCGCTGGCCGTGGAAGCCTGGTGAAGGGCAGTCAGACTCAGGGCAGTACCCAAATGCACAACCCCTCCGAGGCTTGGGGCGGGGCAGCCTGGGAAGCAGTAGGAACCTGCCCCTCCCAGGCTGAACCCCAGAGGAAAGCGCGGGTGCTGGGAGGTCAGGCTTCGCAGGGCTCTTTAATCTTACAGCGTGAGAGGTGGCCGCCCTAGGCTGACCGTAGTTGTTGGGAGCCTCCGCTGAGGGCAGCAGCAACATGCAAGGCAAGTCAGAGAAACCGAGGCCCAAGGGGCAGGAGGCCTGTGAGGCAGGAAGAGCTGAGCCCCACGGCCCTCCCGGGCCGCCCACCTCCCTGCTCACAGGCGGGGTCCAGCAGCAGCCCGGGCAGAGGACAGGTGCTGCTCCCCGCCACAAGGCAGGAGGCTGGCCGGGGACACTGGCATTGTGCCTCTGGAGGTCCTGGAGAAAGAACTGTCCTGGTTTCAGCTTAAGAGGGGATAAGCCCAGGGAGCCCTCAGCTCCGCTCTCCCACCTCCTGCTGCCCTGGCAGAGCCTGGAGGGAAGAAGGGCAGTCCAAGCCCGAGAAGGCAGCGTGCGCCGGGCCGGGTCTGGGCCAGTCAGGTCCGTCGGCAGCGCTTCCTCTGGCAGGGCCTGGTGTCGGGACAGGGGCTCGGCGTGTCGGCGGGGGGCGAGGGCGTGGGGGGCTGGCGGTGGCTGCAACTCATGCTCAAGACCCAGCCCAGCTTGTTGTGCAGCACCTGCTTGAGGCCGGGGGGCAGGGGCAGGCCCTCCAGGGTGTCGCCCGAGTCTGGCCGCAGCTGTCGCAGGCGGTAGCAGCACAGGTACTGCAGGGAGGTGGTGCTGGCGCAGGAGCGGATCACCTTCATGCTGCTCTTGGCCGCCGTGGAGCACACCATCGGGTAGAAGCGCTTGTTCTGCAGCTGGGTGGCCGCCACGCCTGTGCGGGAGGCATGGCTGGGTCTGGCGGGGCCCCCGGCCCCCGGCCAAGGCGCCCGGGCTGCCACACACCCCTGTGAGCCAGGATGCCCACCTCCCACCGGCCTGGCCCTGCCTGGGACAATGGCCTCGGGCCTCCCTGGGCCCTGCGGCGGGCGCTCTTACCTATGCACTTCCTGTTCTTGAAGAAGGTCAGCGTCCCGTGCCAGGTGTCCAGGTGCACGCCGATAATGGAGCCCTGGCCGAAGCGCGAGGAGAAGCTGGTCTTGCCGCCCTTGTGGTGGAGCAGCCCTGGGGACACCAGGCAGGGTGAGGCGGGCCGGGAGCTGCCGGGCCCGGCCGGCCGCCTCACCACAGCCCCACGTACCAGTGTAAGAGAGGCCCCAGCTGTCCTCATCCCTGCCCAGCAGGCTGCAGAAAGTGTGGTGGTATTTGTCCAGGTCCACGTCTGATGTCCCGATGCCCACCATCTGGGAACAGCGGGGCTGGCAGAGGGGCCTGGCCCCAGGCCCCGCCACACCCACCCTCTGCCGGCGCCACTTACCATGTCAGTACCGTAGACGGGCGAGGTCATCTTGATCTCCCAGAAGTGCTGGCCTTCGCCCAGCTCCTTGGCACCTCGGATGGCGGCGGTCCCGCAGCTGTACTCCATGTGGAAGCTCACCTTGCGCTTGTCACAGCTCAGCAAGGTGGCTGAGGACCTGCTCGCGTCATCCCAGACCCAGTCGAAATCTGCTGAGCGAAGGGAGGGCCGTGCTGAGTGCGGGCCCGCCCGCCCGCCCGCCTGCCCCCCCCCCCCCGCCGTGTCCCGTCCCCTCCCCTGCTCACACTCGTCTTCCTCCCCGCAGCGGCAGTCCTTGCTGCGGTGGGCCGGGCGCAGGCTGCCGCACAGGGAGGCCTCGCGCTGGCCCTGGCAGTCACAGAAGGACTCTCCTGTCACCGGCACGGCGCTGGGGATGGACGCTGGCAGGGACGAGCACTCAGGGTCGGAATCCGAGTCACTGTGCTGGAGGGAAGGCAGGTGTGCCCAGCTGTGAGCTGCCCCTTCCTCTACACAGAGCCCAAGTGCCCCTGGCCTGCCCAGACATTCCGGAGTCTCAGGTGCACTGCGCTCCCCTCAAAGCCCAAAGTCTCTGCAGCCAGACAGCCCACAGCCTTTGAGCCATCAGCTCCGCCGTCCAGCCTTTTCCAGCAGCTTCTGAACCTCAGATCATCTGCAGGCCTGGCTCTGCCGACCAAGTCTGATGTGACCCTAATAAAGACAGCGGTGCATGCTCCAGCGGTCTCCTCTTGGAGAGCGTCTCCACCACCCAGGATGTGTGAACGCGTTGCATCCTGGACCAGCCTGCCCGGGGCCAGGAAGACACAACCGACCTCAGCAGCCCAGAAGGATCTGGTCCCTGCCCTGTCGCTACAAAATGACCCAAAGACCTTTGACCTTACCAGACCTGCTTCCTCTGCCGCCTGGCAGGGTAACTGGCGTCCAGCCAGGTCCCTGGCCGGAGCCGTGTCCCCCCAGCCCCCTCTATGCCGCCAGCCCTGACACGTCCAGCCATCCGCTTCCTGGGGTGGTGCCGTGGCACTCCCTTCACCTTCCTGGGTGGAGGTGCTGGGCTGCAAAGTACATTTCCTCAATTTCACCACTTCTCTGGGTCTCTGCTGTCTGGTTCTCTGCCCTCCCTCTCGGCTGAAAACCCCCTTAGGTGGGGGGGGGGGCCACATGTAAAGTAGCCAGGAGGTGGCTGGCAGCAGGTTGTAGAAGGGAGCCTGGGCTTCCTGTCTGCTGCCCAGGGTGCAGCTGTCCCCAGGGGGCATCCCCAAGGGAACATGGGCTCATGTCCTGCCCCACTATGACTGCCTAGAAGGGCTACCCCAAAGCTAGAAGAGAGAGCACAGGACCACGCAAGACCATATTACCCATGGAAAAGGCAAACCGGCCTTGCTCCTGACCGAGTTTGGGGACAGAAGAGGGTATTGTTCAGTCCAACAGTGCCCAGGTGACCACTCACCACCTGTGCACACTACCACAGGGACCGCTCACCACTTGTGCAAACTATACCACAGGCACAGCTCACCACCTGTGCACACTACCACAGGAACAGCTCACCACCTGTGCACACTACCACAGGGACCGCTCACCACCTGTGCACACTATACCACAGGGTCAGCTCACCACCTGTGCACACTACCACAGGCACAGCTCACCACCTGTGCACACTACCACAGGGACCGCTCACCACCTCTGCACCCTATACCACAGGGTCAGCGCACCACCTGTGCACACTACCACAGGGTCAGCTCACCACCTGTACACACTACCACAGTAACAGCTCACCACCTGTACACACTACCACAGAGACCGCTCACCACCTGTGCACACTACCACAGGAACAGCTCACCACCTGTGCACACTACCACAGGAACAGCTCACCACCTGTGCACACTATACCACAGGGACCGCTCACCACCTGTACACACTACCACAGGGTCAGCGCACCACCTGTGCACACTACCACAGGGACCGCTCACCACCTGTGCACACTACCACAGGGGCCGCTCACCACCTGTGCACACTACCACAGGGGCTGCTCACCACCTGTGCACACTACCACAGGCACAGCTCACCACCTGTACACACTACCACAGGGTCAGCTCACCACCTGTGCACACTACCACAGGAACAGCTCATCACCTGTACACACTACCACAGGGTCAGCGCACCACCTGTACACACTACCACAGGGACCGCTCACCACCTGTGCACACCACCACAGGGGCCGCTCACCACCTGTGCACACTACCACAGGCACAGCTCACCACCTGTGCACACTACCACAGGCACAGCTCACCACCTGTGCACACTACCACAGAGACCACTCACCACCTGTGCACACTACCACAGGGACCGCTCACCACCTGTGCACACTATACCACAGGGTCAGCTCACCACCTGTGCACACTACCACAGGGTCAGCTCACTACCTGTGCACGCTACCACAGGGTCAGCTCACCACCTGTGCACACTACCACAGGCACAGCTCACCACCTGTGCACACTACCACAGAGACCACTCACCACCTGTGCACACTACCACAGGCACAGCTCACCACCTGTGCACACTACCACAGAGACCGCTCACCACCTGTGCACACTACCACAGAGACTGCTCACCACCTGTGCACACTATACCACAGGGTCAGCTCACCACCTGTGCACACTACCACAGGGTCAGCTCACTACCTGTGCACACTACCACAGGGTCAGCTCACCACCTGTGCACACTACCACAGGCACAGCTCACCACCTGTGCACACGACCACAGGCACAGCTCACCACCTGTGCACACTACCACAGAGACCGCTCACCACCTGTGCACACCACCACAGGGGCAGCTCACCACCTGTGCACACTACCACAGAGACTGCTCACCACCTGTGCACACTACCACAGGGGCTGCTCACCACCTGTGCACACTATACCACAGGGTCAGCTCACCACCTGTGCACACTACCACAGGGACAGCTCACCACCTGTGCACACTACCACAGGGACCGCTCACCACCTGTGCACACTATACCACAGGGACCGCTCAACACCTGTGCACACTATCACAGGGACCGCTCTACCACAGGCACAGCTCACCACTTGTGCACACTACCACAGGGAACCGCTCACCACCTGTGCACACTACCACAGGGAACCGCTCACCACCCGTGCACACTACCACAGGAACAGCTCACCACCTGTGCACACGGGGTGATTGCTCACCACCTGTCCACACAGGACATCACAGGCCCATTAGGTGACAGCGTGCAAGCAGCATGTGTGTGTCACTGCCCAACCCAGACACACCGCATCGCACAGCCATGAGCCTGTGAGGCAGGGACACAGGTAAACAGGCTGCTCTGGGCCGGACAGTCCGGACAGGAAGAACACATGGCATGACAGGAATGCAGGCCGCTCTGGCTCCAGAGGCTCCAGGGAGGCCTGGGACGCTGCCCACCAGGTCAGTGAGCCAATGGCTCCCAGCTGTCCTCTCTGGCTTGGTGGTCCACAAAGCTCTCTGAGAGACCACTTCTACCGTGACACCTGACCAGGTGAGAGTCCAGGGCAGAGCCAGACTCGGCCTGAGACGCCTCAGGAAGCCAGTGGAGAAGCAGCATCCCGAGAGAACGCAGGGCCTAACCCACAGACGCCAGCACAGAACTGCTCGCTCCCCAGTGGTCTCAGAGAGCCGGGGGTCCTCAGGGGTCACAAGCTCTTATACACGGTACTGAGTGTGAGGCGACCCACACTTTGCTATGGTACAAGCATCTCCGAGGGCAGACCACGCATACAACAGGACCTCTGGAAACGCAAAGACCAGGGGGGTCTGCGGCGCATCTGAGCAGCGGCAGCCTCTCCACACTGTACTTGTCACAGGCCAGGCTGGGTGGAAGGCCTGCCCTGCGTCCCTCTGTCCTACGTGCCCGGGCTCTTCTACCAGACCGAAGAGGCCTCTGCGTGGGGCGTCCCCGGGAGGCAGCCCATTCCCCGGTTCCCTGACCTCCAGTCCTCACACCAGCCGGGCTCACCTCCACTGCAGACCTACCTGGCCATCAGAGTCATAGCCCCAGTTGGTGGTGCCTGTCAGAGCCACGGCGCGCGCGTCGGCCTCGCGGCGGGCTGCGCTCAGGACCAGACGCCAGGCTCGGCCGCTCCGGGGCCGTCTGGCCATGGTGAAGAGGACCTGGGAAAAGACGAGTTCTGAGCCTGGGAGACGAGCCTCCCCTGGAGCTCTGCGGCTAGACCCGCGCCAAGAGGTCCCCGGCCCCGCCCCGGCCGCGGGGCTCCTCGGCGGCCCATACCTGGCTCCAGAGCCGGAGCACCTGGACCAGACCCTGGGCGACGGTGCAGATGCGCACCCAGACGCCCATGGCTGCGGGCGGCGCGCGCGGGGCCCGCGCCTGACGGGCTGCGCCGCCGCCCGGGTGGGCGGGTGCGTCCCCGACCTGGCTTCCCCGTGCCGGGCGCGGAGCCGCCCCCCTCCCGCCCCGCCCGCCGCCGCGCGGGTCCGCGCGGGCCGCCCGCCCTCCGCGCCCGCTCCGGGCCCCGCTTCCGGCCCCGGCCGCCCGGGCCCGCGCCGCCGCCGCCGCGGAACGCCCAGGGTCGCCGGAGCCCGCGGGCGGGCGGCGGCGGCGGCGGCCCCGGGGCGCGGCCGGCGGGGCCGCGGCGGCTCCCACGCCCCGCGCTCGCGGACCTCGGCTCCGGGCGACGCTGCCGGCAGCGATGATCCCGCGGCGCCCGCCCGGCTTCCCGCGCCCCAGGAAAACAAAGGGCGGCGGGCCCGACCGCCCGCAAGGTCAACGCGCCGGGGCCGGGCCGGGCCGGGCGCCGCTCACCTGCCGCCGCCGCCGCCGCCGCCGCGCTCCGCCGGCCGTGACCCACTTTCCGCTCCGGCCTGGACGTAAACAATCCCCGCCCCCCGCGCCGCATTGGCTGGGAGGCCGGAGCGCCCGGCCGGCGCTCCGCGCGGGGCGGGTCTCTGAAGTAGAGACTATTGTCGAGAGGTTGCAGGACCCGCCAATCCTGAATAGACCTCTCCCATTGGTCGCTGCTCGAGCGGTCGGAGTGAGCCTCGCACGCCTATTGGGCGCGGATGCGGAAGTCGGTCCGACTCCGTTCGTCCTACGCGCCGGAACCTGAGGGCTACAGGAACTCCTCGGGAGACCTAATTGGCTGAGGGGAGAGGGCCTGCACCTATCACAAGGGGACGGGGGCGGGCTCGTTCCGCCCATTGGCCCAGCGGCTCTTCATTCGGGCTCGGAGCGCCGAGCGCCGCGGGCGGCATGGCGGCGTCCGCCGGTGAGCTCGCGGGCCCCGGGGGGCTTTGGCGGGCCTGCAGTTTGTGCTGACCCGGGAGAGGTGCGGGTCGCGGAGCGGGGCCGGGCCGCGGCCCCCGCGTCTTGGGCCGGCCTGGTGTCCCGGCGGCTCGGGGCGCGTCCGGGCCGCTGAGGTGATGGCGGCGCAGGGCCGGCCGTGGCCTCGGCGCTCTCCCCGCGCTCGCGCGCGGCCCCGGGCCGGGCCGGTCCAGGCAGGCCGGGCGGGCGGAGGCCGGGCCTCGGCGCTCTCCCCGCGCTCGCGCGCGGCCCCGGGCCGGGCCGGTCCAGGCAGGCCGGGCGGGCGGAGGCCGGGCCTCGCGTCCGGCCGGGACCCCCTGCAGCCTCGCCCGCCCGCGTCCCTCCCGCAGAGCTGGGGAACCTGGCAGGCGTCCGGCACATCATCCTGGTCCTCTCCGGAAAAGGGGGCGTCGGGAAAAGCACCATCGCCACCGAGCTGGCCCTGGCGCTACGCCACAGGGGCAAGAAGGTGAGGCCTGTGCCCGGGCGGGGCTCAGCCCAGGGTCGAGCGAAGTGATGGCCGCCTCCCCCCCCACCCCACCCCAGGCTTCTCCCCACGCGAGGGCCGCTGAGCCTCACCCGCTTGGCAGGTGGGGATCCTCGACGTGGATCTGTGTGGCCCCAGCATCCCGCGCATGCTGCACGCCCAGGGGCGGGCCGTGCACCAGTGCAGTGGTGGCTGGGTGCCGGTGTTTGTGGATCAGGAGCAGAGCATCTCCCTCATGTCTGTGGGCTTCTTGCTGGAGAAGCCTGATGAGGCTGTAGTCTGGCGAGGCCCCAAGAAGAACGGTAATGACCCTGTTTGGGGGCCAGAACTAGTGGCCTGCCTGGGGGAGGGGTTGGGGGGCCAGAGCTAGTGGCGTGCCTGGGAGGGGGGGTTGGGGGCTCAGAGCTAGTGGCCTGCCTGGGGGGGGGGCTCCCGCAGGTGGGGACCAGCAGGCACGGGAGACATTGCTCCTGGGTGTGCTGTTGAGGAGCTCCGGGGTTCCCTACAGGGCATCTTTCTAGGACTTGGGCAACAGGCCCTGCTACAAATGCCAAGGCTCCCTTCTGACCTGTGTGTTAGGAGGAGCTGCCAGTCCCCGCAGGTTGGGGATGCTGAGTTTGCAAGCACTGGGGAGCAGGGGGTGCTGGGGGGAAGGACGGATGCTCCTGCATGAGACGAAGCTCCCGCTTGACCAGCCCAGCCCCTTGCTCATGAGCAATGGGCATCTTGGGCCTTTGCAGCCCTGATAAAGCAGTTTGTGTCTGATGTGGCCTGGGGGGAGCTGGACTACCTGGTTGTGGACACCCCGCCGGGGACCTCTGATGAGCACATGGCTGCAGTAGAAGCCCTGCGCCCCTGCAGGCCGCTGGGGGCCCTGCTGGTCACCACGCCTCAGGTAGGCCCCTTACACGTGTGGCCTGCTTGTTGGGCTGTCCCCACCGTCCTCCCCGCCTGTTACTCCTTTCTTGGCTAAGTGCGCAGCGGCCCAGTCTGTCTGGACTCTCCCTCTCTAGGCTGTGTCTGTGGGGGACGTGAGGCGGGAGCTGACCTTCTGCAGGAAGACCGGGCTGCAGGTGCTAGGGGTCGTGGAGAACATGAGCGGCTTTGCCTGCCCGCACTGTGCTGTAAGTCCCGGGTGGGCGTGACGTGGGGAGGGCAGGTAGGGACACCAGGCTGGAGGTTATGGAGGGGCAGGGCTCTGAGGAGCCGGGTGACCCCCGCAGGGCAGGGCAGTAACTGCACAGCGCCAGAGGATGCTGGCATCACGTGGAGGGCAAGTCTGCAAGCTTGCCTTTCACGGCCCATCTCCTAGGAATGCACCAACGTCTTCTCCAGGGGCGGCGGGGAGGAGCTGGCCCTGCTCACCGGAGTCCCTTTCTTAGGTAAACATGGAGCCAGGCTGGCCGGAGTCCCAGCTCCCCACTCCTGGTCCCTGGACTAGACGGGTGTGAGTTCTGGGAAGGGAGGGGCCCGCGGGTGCCTGGCTGCTCAATGTGTCCCTGATGGTGGATACCGAGGGTCCCGGGTAACCATGAGAGGCAGGACTCAGCCTGGACGCAGCAGTCCGGGCTCTTGGCAGCACGCGGTGCCCAGATGCCACCCCTCTGTCTCGCAGGCTCTGTGCCCCTGGACCCTGAACTCACCAGGAGTCTGGAGGAGGGCCGGGACTTCATCCAGGAATTCCCCAAGAGTCCTGCATTTTCTGCACTTACCTCCATAACCCAGAAAATTCTGGATAGGACATCCACTCTGCTCTCCTGACACGACCCCATGGCTACCCCTGGTACATCTGAGTGCTTGGCTTGCAGCTTCCAAAAACTTACGGGACAGAGTCCTCGGTGTGGCTTCGGGACCTGCAGAGGCTGGTCCGAGGCCTCCCCAGCCAGCCCAGCCCTCGCGTGATGTTTTCATAGCATCTTGGCAGAGCTTGCTGGCAGGAGCTCCGTTCTGATGGCCTGTGGCTAAGGACAGCTTGAGTCTGGGTACCTTAAGATGATACCAGGCTCGCCACCAGCCCCTGTGAGCCTTGCCCTGTGAGCCTTGGCTGAGACAAGACAGGTTGCTCCTGGAAGCCAGTGTCCCTGCTGTCCACAAGTTACAAGACCCTGGGGCAAATGTGGAGGGCTCTGCTGATGGAGCAGAGTGTGGTAAGCAGTCCAGAGTGTTGTGACCACCCCGGACCTGCCATTAAAGCTATCACACCCTGGCAGTGGCAGTGCCATCCCCAGACCAGTGTCCTGTGTACCGTGGCTTTTGCTTCCTGCTGCCCTAGGGCTGCACCAGACTCTGGTGTTCAGGCCCCTGCGGCTCCGGGCAGATGCCGCGGTCTCAGTGCATTGGTGCGGTTCTGTGCGTCAGACACCTCAGTGTCTGCCCTTCATGCCACACGGGAGGCCTGAAGCACAGCCAGCCCACAGGGCACCTTGGAGTGCGGCAGCAGGTCCCAGGCCTTCCCCAAACCTGCCTGCGGCGGGCTGGGAAGCTGGCTCCGTGGTAGGGTGCTTGTTTCGCATGCATGAGGCCTTGCGTTCGATTCCTCAGCACCACATAAGCAGAAAAAAAACCGGAAGTGGTGCTGTGGCTCAAGTGGTAGAGCGCTAGCCTTGAGCTGAAGAGCTGAGGGACAGCGCCCAGGCCCAGAGTTCAGGCCCCACGACCGGACCCAAAAAAAAAAACATGCCTGCAGCCACATGCCACCCTCTCCCGTCCCTTGAGGGACAGCTGGGGCGGGCCTCTGGACAGGCCTTGTGGCCTGTGGGTCTTCCAGTGCATGCTGCCGGCCGGCTGGCCGGCCGCATGGGCCCCGGTTGTGCTCCGTGGAAGCCGGCCCATCCCCCACCATCATGGCAGTGCCCTCGAGCCCCGACCAGACCTGTGAGGACACTGCCCGTTTCCAGCACTGGCTCTGAAGAGAGCGCGAAGCTGGGGTTTCGGGTGAGTGCCACAGCTCCCGCGGTGTGGGCGGGGAAGGGGGTGTGGCAGCACGAGGACCTCACGGTTTTGGGGCGCAGGTGTGCCAGGCCGGGGGAGCACTCCCGGTACCATTGAGGCTCAGGCTCCACGCTGAGGCAGAGCTGAGACGAGAAGGGGGATGGACGGGGGACCAGGTGACCCCCTCAGTGTGGCTGGCCGTCACATGCCGTGGTTCTCGTACGCTTTAATGTTTCCCCGCGGAGCTCTGGGCACCTGCCCACGCCCTGCCCTGTGCCCACACCCAGCGCCCCCTGCCCACTGCGGAGCCCAGCTGCCAGGACCGTCTGTCCCCTGTGGGTGAAGAGCGTGGGCCGGGCCGTGCAGGGACCGCGGTCAGCAGTGTGCGAAGTGCTCCTGGGGGACGTCCCGCAGGTCCAGGCCCGCCACGCCTGCAGGGCCGGCGCAGGTGATGTTGTTGTGGGTGTATGCGGGCTGGCAGTCGCCCCCCTCGCACCTGGCCTGCACGGAGCGGGGCACCACGGCCGGCTTGCTCAGGGCGAAGTCTCGCAGCGCCCTGAGGGGGCAGCCGCACTCCCAGGGGTTGCCCTCCAGCCACAGGCGCTCCAGGCCGCGCGGCTGCGGCACGAACGTGTGCAGGGAGTTGTTCCTCAGGCTGAGGTAGCTCAGGCGCCCCAGCGGGGAGAGGGCGCCCTCAGCCAGGGCCTCCAGGCGGTTGTGCGAGAGATCCAGCCAGAAAGCCCGCTGCAGGGGGCTCAGGAGGCCCGGGGCCAGCGAGGCCAGCCGGTTGTGGGAGAGCAGCAGGTACTCCAGCTGGCCGAGGCCCTGGAAGAGGCGAGGGGGCAGGTGCGTGAGCTGGTTGGACGTGAGGTCCAGCTCCAGGAGCTCTGGCAGCGCGGCCAGGCTCTGCTCGTGGATGCTGGAGATGCCGTTGTCCCTGAGAAAGAGCCGGCGCAGCCCGCCCAGGCCTGCAAAGGTGTGCTGGCGGACGCGGCCCAGGCAGCTGCTCCCCAGGTGCAGGCTGTGCAGCCGGCCCAGGCCCCGGAACACCTGCTCCGGGAGGCCACGCAGACAGTTACCCGAGAGGTTCATGACAGCCACGTTGACGAGGCCCAGGAACGCGCCCACCTTCACCTCCTGGATCTGGTTGTCGTTGAGCGCCAGCACCTCCAGCTGCCCCAGGCCCTCGAACGTCTTCTCCACCAGGTGGTGGATGCGGTTGTGGCCGAGCCGCAGCTCCTCCAGGAAGTGCAGGTCCTGGAAGGTGCGGGGCCGGAGGCCTGCGATGGCATTGTGCGCCAGGCGCAGGACGCGTAGGCCCAGCAGGCCCGGGAAGGCGTCTTCCAGCGGGCCGGCCAGGCGGTTGTGGGAGAGGTCCAGCCAGCGCAGGGCCTTCAGGCCCAGGAAGGCCCCGGGGGCCACGGCGGCGATGAGGTTGCGGTCCAGGTAGAGCTTCTGGAGCCGGGGGAGCTGCACGAAGACGTTGGCCTTGACGCTGCGCAGCGCGTTCCTGCTCAGGTCCAGCTCGCGCAGCTCGGCCAGGCCGCAGAAGAGCGCCGGCTGCAGGTAGGCCAGCCTGTTACCCGCCAGCACCAGCTCGTGCAGGTTGCCCAGGCCCTGGAACACGGCGTCGGGCAGCACCACCAGGCTGTTCCAGCCCAGGTGCAGGTCCCAGAGCTGGGCCAGGCCCCGGAAGAGGCCCTCGTCCAGCCGGGCCAGGAGGTTGTTGCCGAGGCTGAGGGAGGCCAGGCTGGGCGTGTGTGCGAACACCCCGGCGGCCAGGGTCCGCAGCCGGTTCCTCTCCAGGTGCAGGTGGTACAGGCTGCGCAGGCCCAGCAGCGCCTGCGGCTCCAGGCGGCTCAGCTGGCTGCCCTGCAGGTTGAGGAAGTCCAGGCCAGACAGGTTCCGGAAGGCCGCGGGGGGGATGGAGGAGAGGTTGTTGCCGTCCAGCCACAGGGCCTTGGCGCCCTCCGGGATGCCGTCAGGCAGCCGGGTGAGGTTCCTGGCGCTGCAGAAGACACTGAGCTCGCCCGTGTAGTCGTCCAGGCTGCAGGCGCAGGCGGCCGGGCACCCCAGGCTCTCCGGGTCCTCCGGGGCGCCCGGCTCTGCCCCCTCCAGGCCACAGGGACCCAGTGCCGCCCAGGAGAGCAGCAGTGCCAGGAGGGCCTCCAGTCCTGTGGGGAGAGGCTCGGTGAGGGGCGCCGTGGCATTCGGGGTGCTCGCGGGACCCGGACCCTCCCCGGGTCATGGTTTCACTTGGAAACCGAGCCCTGGCGCCCTAATTAGGTTGCAGGCGGTGGCCGAGGACGGCCGGGCCCGGGGCGCAGAAGCTGGCTGCACCTTCCCGCCCCATGGAGCCACCCCTGCGGCAGACGCAGAGGACCAGGCACCGAGGGGGCCCGGGCCTGCCTGTGAGGCTCCGGGGCCGAGTGTCGCCCCAAGTATGCACGCCAGCCTTGCCAGGCTGCCACAGCAGCCTGGGAAATCGAGGGACCAAGCCGCCAGCCAAGACCTAATCATTTCCAGAACATTCTAGCATTAACCCAGCGTTGCTTATTATGGTAGCCAGACAGTGAGCCAGATACCCCGTCCCTTAGGCTGTAGGTTACTGGCAGGTGCGGCACAGGCCTCCCTCAGCAGGCATCGGCCCAGCGACCCAGGCAGCAGCACCCTACACCCGTGCTGGGTGCGGTGCAGGCAGGGCCTCAGCCAGACTCCAGCCCGCCATTCTTCACTGGCGACTCAGCTAGCAGTGGTCTCGAGCCTGACACGGTGGGCCTGTCCCCGGTGCCCAGTGCAGCCCACGGTGCCTCCTTGCAATGTGGTCCTGAGGAACATCGACGTCCCGCCCTGTGCCAGCCCAGTGCCCGCCACCCACGGCCACCCAGCGCCCTCACCTCTCCGCAGCGCCATCTCCCGTGCAGAGCGGACCGCAGCCAGCGCGGGTGCTGGCGTCTGCAGGCCAGTGGCTCCTGCCCTCTGAATTCCCTCCGCTGGGACGGCCTGCTGGCCAGCCCTCCCCGCGCCCGGCTCCTTAACCCCTTCCTGCTGGGTGGCCACAAGTGGCTTCGGTGGTGATTGTGCGGGGCGCAGCTCGGGCGCTCAGCCCCCCCAGCACCCGGCAGACAGGCTGGGGTGTCTGGTGAGGGGGTCCTAGTGGCCACAGGCAGCCTGGGGTTGGGGAGATCTCCCCACTGAACCCCACGTCAAAAAGCAGTGTCAGGCTAACTCTGGCCCTGCATTGCCAATGCCGCCCACCTGTCTGCCCGCTTCCACTGATTCCCACTGCCCCTCCCATCTGCCAGTGACCCCGTACCCCCAAAGCCCTGCCCATCTGCCTGGCAGGCTGCCCAAGCTGGAGTTCCCAGCAGCCTGCCTGGGCCGCGAGGTCGCCGTCGGCTGCTGCTCCCCCAGCCTCTTCTAGGAACACCTGGCAGTGCCTCTGCACTCGTATTTGCCTTTCCTGGGACCGGCCCAGGAGAGGCGGGAAGGCCGCGGTCTGTGCCCCGCAGCCGGCCCCCCTGCTGTCCCGAGGCCACAGCGGTGCAGGCCTGACGCTGGCTGGAGGGAGGGCCGGAAAAGGGGGCCCTGGCGCCCCTCGGCCTTCGCTGAACCACACCTCTGCCTCCCGCAGGACTGAGTGGGTGCGGTGTGGGCCTCGCCCATCGCCCTGGAGCCTTCTCTGGCTCTGCCCTTTGGTCCTGGCCGGGTGTGTGGGGACGTGCGCGGGCGGGCATCGGAGGGACACAGGGAAGAATCGTGTCTGAAGATGGGCAGTCTCTGGGGTCCGGTGGACTCGAGCCCAATGCAGGGGAGGCAGAGGAGGAGGTAGATCGGGGGATATTTTCCAGGTCACTCCTCAGCCTCTTCTGAGAAATTATAGATCTGAAGGGAGAAAGTCCACGCCGGAGCCCATAGAGCAGTTTACACAGCGGAAAGTGCCGCCTCAGCAGGCCGCGGGCCAGCAGCCCGGCCTTGGAACGAGGGGGGGGCACCGCTGCCGCTCACCTGGCAGGAGGGCAGGGCTGGGCAGCTGTGTTAGACTCGCATCAGGCCCGAAGCTTGCCCAGCGCCCTCCTGCCCCTCGGTTCCCCAGCAGTGCCTCCCTGCTGGGCCGGGCCGGGCCACATTCTGGGCACCCACAAGAGGGTACACCAGCCAGATCGGGCTTCATCCTCACCCCACCTGTGGCTGGTCACGTGGCTCTTCCCACAGGCCTTTTCCATCAGTGCCAGCGTGGGCCGGGACCGCGGCGTGGCCTGTGAGTGCATGTGTGCGTCTGCGGGGCAGGTCAGGTCACACTCGGGGTGTGTGCACCCACACTGCTGTGTTACGGCTGTGTTTTGCCTGTTGGGGCCTCCTCGTTTCTTGTCCCATCTCTGGGGACGCAGCCCGTCACAGGCTGTTTGTGTATGGATCTGATTTCTTATTTATTTTTTTGTCAGTCATGGGTCCCTCAGCTCTTCAGCTCAAGCTAGCGTTCTACCACTTGAGCCACAGCGCCACTTCCAGCTTTTTCTGCTTATGTGGCGCTAAGGAATAAAACCGAGGGCCTCATGCATGCCAGGCAAGCGCTCTACCACTGAGCCACCTTCCCAGCCTCTGATTCCTAATTTTAAAGGTTCGTACCTGTAGTCCCTAGTGAAGAGCAGGAGGTATGAGACCAGCCTGGGCAACAGTAAGAATGCACCCGCAGAGAACACGGTGGCTGCAACGGGAGCCATGAGAGTCACAGCTAGGGGTCCCGGCACCCCAGGCAGGACGCAGAGGCTGAGGGAGGGGTGGGCTCTTGAGCTGTAGTTGGCTCTGTGCAGACATGTGTGCCAGTACCCAGTCTTGAACTCAGGGCTTTGCGTGCACTGGGCTTTTTTTCTCATAGCTGGTCAGGGTCAGCATCTTGGTTCACTGGGGGGGTCACAGGCTGGCTTTGGACCAGGGCCCTCACATGCTCGCTGCGTGGCTAACATGTACAAGCTTGCGCCTCCAGCACCCTGTTTGTTGGCTCTTTGAAGACTTTTGCTAAACCTCTACCAAGGCAGCTGTGCTGCTTCCTCCTGGCCTGTCTCTGTCCGGGCTGGGGTGGGTTTGTGTGAGCGTGGCGGCTGAGGGGGCAGAGGCTGGCTTACCCAGCCCTCCAGCAATGCGCAAGCTGGGGTCCCAGCAGATGCGGGGCCTGGGCGCAAGGCTCTTTCACACTGCGTCCGGAGCAAAGCTTCCCCCCGGGGTGGCCTTGTCCTGGAGGGGCCACCGCAGCGGTGACTGTTCCAGCCACGGCCCGTGCGCCTCTGCCTGTTGGCACACCTGCCAGTGTCCACACGGTCCTGGAGGGAACCCGAGGCCCCTTTGTGCGTAGGGCCAATTCTCCCAAGTGGAATTGCTGTTTGCCACTGTTACTGCTGGGTTGTAAACCTCTTCTACACTGAGACAGTGCCCAGCCGAATTCAAGCCCCACAACCGACCAAAAAAGCCCTCTTCTACAGTGGCTCTCATTCTAATGTGAACATGGCCCTGCTCCTCCACGCACGCACGCACACACGGTGGGGTTTCTACTTTGTAGCATGATGTTTATCTATTCTGAAGGGCAGACATCTGTCACTGCTGAAGCAGTGTGTACAAGTCTTTGCCAACTTCGTCCATATTCTTTTTGTTGATGGTGGTGGTTGTGAGGCCTGAACTCTGGGCCTGGGCGCTGTCCCTCAGCTCTTCAGCTCAAGGCTAGCGCTCGACCACTTGAGCTACAGCACCACTTCCGGCTTTTTCTGCTTATGTGGTGCTGAGGAATCGAACCCAGGGCCTCATGCATGCAAGGCAAGCGCTCTACCACTGAGCCACCTTCCCAGCCCTGTCCATATTCTTATAAGTGACTTAGGAAGCTGTAATGCACTGGAGACTGTGTTACAGATGACCAAGTGTAAGGTTTGCAGATGCTTTCCCAAGTCCGTGGCTTGTTAGTTTGGGGTTTTGTCTGGCAGTACTTCTGTTTGAATTCAGTGCCTTCTTCGGGGGGAGGCTGGTGCTCTACCACTCGAGCCAGCCCCCAGCCCTAAACAGTGTCTTTGAAAGTGACTCTCAGGAGTGAAGCCAGTGTACGGCTTTCTCCTGTGAGGCCTGTGATTCGGGTGTCGCGTGTGAGCACTGCTGAGCCCAGGGGAGGGGGTTCCCTGGGCAGACAGATGGTGTGGGGGAGCTCACCCACCCCGGGGAGACGACGCAGAGTCTGGAAGCGGAGGTTATGGGAATAAATACTTTAAAATTTTTCTCTGATAAATACACATTAGAGTGCGTGTGATCGCACACGCTCCGGCTCTGAAGTTAATTTCAATTTAAAATGAACACTGGGTTTCCCCCAGCCCCAGCCCCCGCCGGGCGGCCCTCAGTCCCGGGGCACCTTGAACTGGTCCTTCTCCCTGCGGAGGGCCTTCATGGTGGTCACGGGGTCCGTCTCCCCCACGTGCTGCTGCACTGTCTTCTCCCTGCCGGCATGGGAGAGGGACGGCTCAGCGCCACGCACAGCCTCACACCCTGCGGGCGCCCAGGGAAGGAGGGAGCCCGGCCAGGCGGCCAAGCCGGACGCTGCCCACGGGGAGGAGCGTGAGCTGCTGGCAGCCCCGGAGCAGCGACCCGAGTGTGGGGTGCGGCCCCTCCCCCGGGGCCCCCCACACCTGACTCTCATGAAGGGATTGTAGGTGAATTCCTCCGCCAGGGTGGACGGCACTGTGGGCTCCCCGATTGCATACTTCTCCTGCAGGGGAGGACAGCGTCACGTCACTCGGGGCCTAGGCCCGGCCGCGCCGCGCCCGCCCGTCCTGGCACCATCCTAACTGGGGGACTGTGTGGAGGGCGGGACGGCCGGGGACCCAGCGTTGAGAACGCACAGCCACGCACAGCTCTCATCTCACGGAAGCTGAGGACCGGCGGGGTGGAGGGAGCCGCCCAGATGCTCGCTCGGAGCAAGGAAAGCGGTCTAACACGGGGGCCGACAGGAGGGGTCCGCCGGTGAGTGAGCGTGTGAAGCTGGGAGGCGGCAGGCATGCGTGTGCGTGGGTGTGCAATGCCACACAGGCCCCTCTGGCGCACCGCACCGTCGGGGGCAGAGCCAGAGCCTACAGCCAGGTTAGAAACATGGAGTCTGAACCCCAAGTTGGAACAGGCAGGCGCCGTGCCTGGCCCCGTGGGACTGTGTGCCCACTCACCTTGGCCCAAGCCAGCTTCTCCTGGACGGCCGCGTTGCTGGGCTCCACGTGGCGCGCGAACTTGAGGTTGTTGATGGTGTACTCGTGGCCACAGTAGACTTTCTAGGGAAAGCGGACAGAGCGCTCTCCTCCCCGCCCGGCCCCCAGCGGACGCATGGCTCGTGGACGCCAGCGGCCACCCTGGGCTGGCCACCTGCACACGCCAAATGCCAAGGAAGGGCTTCCAGGACTGCCCCGCCCGCCGCGCACCCAGCTCAGCGAAGCTGCACAGGCGCCAGACTCCATTCCCCAGCAGCGGCCCAGGGCGGGGAGGCGGCTGAGGGGCGCGGGCCGGGCAGAGGGGGGCCGGGCGGAGGGGGGCCTACCGTGTCTGGAGGCAGCCGGCCCAGGACTTCCAGCAGTGCCTTACACATCTCGTCGGCGGTCCCTTCGTAGAACTTCCCGCAGCCAGCCACAAACAGGGTGTCGCCTGGAGCACGGGTGGCCATGAGGCCTTGGAGGAGCCCGACTGGCCTCCTGCCCCCTGGGGTGCAGCTGCAGCTCACCAGCATCCCAGCCTGTGCTGCCCCCTCCCTGCCTGTTGCCCGGATGCCAGTGGCCTCCCCACCCCACCCTCCCAGCCCCCACTTTGTGCCCCCAGACTCAAATGGCAGCAAAGCCACCGAAGTGGCTCAGGCGCACCCACCCCACGGTCCCTGGGCCCCACGCATCCTCCCCTGCCGGAGCACATCTCCAGGACTTCGCTGCCTGGCCCAGCCTTGAACCTCAGTCCA